GATATTTGTATAATTAGGTATTACAGATATACATGCACAATGCAGGTTGCAAGTATGGAATGAATGGTGTGGAAAAGATAAATAAAACTGTGCCTTTGTCGTCGTGTGATTCACCAAGGGGCACCATGGGAACATACATTTTTCATATTATCATGTGACATACTGATGCATCATGGGAGCAATCCCAGGTCTAATGTCAAAGACAAGTGCATCATGACACACCCCAACTCGATTGTAACTCACCAATGCATCATGGGAGAAAAAGTTGTAATGTAAACATTAGTTGTAAACTAATACAAGTACACAATGGGATTATTGTGGTTAAAATATTTTCTACAAAAATAGCGCCTCGTATCACGTCGTTTGTGATACATACTGATTTTCAAAGGCTGGATTTTCAAATACATGTGGTAGTTCAGAAGTATTAAAGTCAGAATCAGATCTATAGGGGTGGCAAAATTACAAGCAACAATTAATTGACCTACTAATAGTGCAGTCAGAATGAGGGTTTAGGCGTGCGTTCAGAGGGATTTTATGGGACATCATTTTTCATGTTGCTAGTATGATTTTACATATTTGTATGGATTATTAGATCTTAGTTTTTCAGCTTTTAGATTTTGTGGCCATTTTACCCCCCATGGGCTATAATTTGGACCCCTACTATAAAATTGGACTGGAACTCCAAAAATACTCAGTGGAATGTATCCAAATTACTTGGATATATTGGTATGGGCTAACTGAATATATGATAAAAATTTCATGTCACATGGTTAAGCAGTTGCCATGAAAACAGATAAAACATACCCTTCAGGTGTTGATTTTCAGGCCATTTTTCAGAAATAATAGAGTCATTTCATGCATATTTTGTCACCATTGTGTTAGGAAGGGTTAAAGTATGAATAGAAAACTTCTATAATATATTAGCAACAATCTTATATAAAGATTAGTCCACAGGATTTCAGATTTCGGCCTTATATGGGTCCATGATTTATACAGGGGTCTATTTCACAGACTCGAACCCCCACATTAGATGGATGCTATAACTTTTGAAATAATGGAGATACATGTCTCATTTTTTCAGATCTTCATAAATGGTTGGTTTTAAGTATTGTATTATACTTTGGGAGCTGGTATGTGATTGGTTGCCATGGTAACCAAGGTTTTATGGAAATTCGGACCCCACATTGGATGGATGCTATAACTTTTGAAATAAGGGATATACATGTCTCATTTTTTCAGATCTTCATAAATGGTTGGTTTTAAGTATTGTATTATACTTTGGGAGCTGGTATGTGATTGGTTGCTATGGTAACCAAGGTTTTATGGAAATTCGGACCCCCACATTGGATGGATGCCATAACTTTTGAAATAAGGGATATACGTGTCTCATTTTTTCAGATCTTAGACAATGATTGATTTTAAGGATTGATTCAGACTTTGGGAGCTGGTATTTGATTGGTTACCATGGTAATCAGGGTTTTGTTGAAATTCAGACCTCCACAATTGATAAACGCTATACTTATACAGGCAGATACAAATATCATCTTTTCAGATATAAATGTGTATATTGTATTAGACTTTGGAAGTTAGGATTTACTTGGTTGCCATGGTAACCATGTTTCATTTTCATGGTAACTGCCATTTTTGTTTTTAGATTCACCTTCATTCTAGATAGGTCAATACATGATATGAAATACCAAATTGCCATTTTATTCTTAATTTTGGGATTTTTTCTATTTTATATGATTTACATGCTCATTTATACTAGAGAGGCAAAAATTGTTTGGCTCATAAAATATCAAATACTAGTAAACAATACATGTATATTTATATCTGACAATATTGCCTCATTCCATACTACTAGTTCTCACAAATATTCTGACTCCTAACTTGTTCATTTTTACTCATCATTACTGTTTTCATTTTGCACAATTGCCTCTTGATTTAAATATCAACCGTTTCTGTTGAAATGAAGGTTTGTTTTGACCATTCTGGAGTTGAGGATCCTCGGGGGATTTAGTACATTCATGCAGTATTGGGCTTGGCAGAATGGGTTAAGACTGGTCCCTGGGGGTTCACTGTATATAAAATTTGGCTGGGGTCCTAGGCTGAACCCTCAGATATCAATATGTTCCCATACCAATCTGTCAAATTTGAATGTATTTCCATACCAACCAAAGTAATGCCCAAAAGTCATACCAAATGCCCAAATATAGGATCAATGCAATATCCAGATATAAAAACATGGCCATTCAAAATGTCTAATGCCCTGAGAAGAAGGCAGACCTTTGAGGAAAACAACCAAAAACAACTTCACATTATAAAGGATATATACTAGACCAATGCCATACCACAAGTGAGGGGTAACATATTTTCCAAGACCATTCTCATACCAGTAAGTGGAAAAATCGGACCATTGCCATACCTCAAGTCATAATTTGGAGGGCATTCTCATATCAGATCTTAAAAGGAGTAGAGTCACTATATGGAGAGCTTTTTAGAAGGACACAACTATTTTATTCTGGAAGTGATCATAATGAAACTTTAACATACTTTTAGAAATGAGGTGAATTCAGAGATCCTAATATATTATTCTCAAATTATTAAAACGTGGGTTTGTTGAACGTTTTTTGTGAAGAGTTCATCATTGACTACAAAGTAATTCATTGCATTACATTAGCTGCTATGTAGAATATCTTCCACCTTGTAATGATTGCTTACTTCAACATTTAGGATTTGTCATTCATCCTCTTCAAATTTCTATATTGTTTCCTATTATGAAGAAAACAACTTTAAGAACCTCAACTGATGTGAACTCTGTCCCATTAGATGTCAGAAGCTCAACCAAACCTCTGTAGCTGCAAACTTAGAACGAAGTACTGTGTGAAGCCATATTAGCCTTCAATGCGTTACGGATCTGAATAATGAGGGCAGTACTGTTTTGGAGAATATCTTATGTTAAACAGCTCATATCGTAATTTATTGATGTCAGTTACAAATGTACTCTTGTAATTCTGCTGTTCTTTTGCATGTGAACAATTCAACTTTGGATTTTATTGTTACTGGATCTGATCAAAAGTAAAATAAATCAACTGAAACTGAAGACAAGCAATTCTTGTTGTTTCCTTCAATAGGAAACAATATAGGAATTTCTGATACCATAAAATCCAAAGTTGAATTGTTCACCTGCAAAAGTACAGCTGAATTACAAAAAAATAACTGCCACTAATAGATAACGAGATGAGCTGTTTCACATGAGATACTATAGTATTCTCAAAAACAGAACAGTGCTGCCCTCACTTATGAAGGTGTTGACATTTCAACTCTTTCACATTTGAAGAGGGTGAATTATCAAACCTGTGTATGGAAACATTCCCACCAGCCAAAACCCAGCTCTACCAAACAAAACACTGCATGAATGAATTATGAATTCCCCGAGGAATCCTTAACACCCCAATGGTCAATAGAATCCTTCCTTGTTGAAATTGTTGATATTTTAAATTAAGAGACCATTGTGGAAGATGAAAACTATAATGATGAGTAAAAACAAGTTAGGAGTAGAATATGTGTGAGAACTAGTAGAATAGAATGAGGCAATACTGTCAGACATACATGTAAAAATGCTGAAATTAAGAGTAAAATGATAATTTTGAGCAATTTTGCATTCTATGTTGTGTCTTGACCATTCTCAAATGAAGGTAAATCTGAAATCCAAAATGAAGTTTCCATGACAATGAAACATGGTTATCATGGCAACCAAGTAAATTGTAACCTCCAAAGTCTGACACAAGACACAAGTCTAATTATCTTTTAAGTTCTGAAAAGCTGATATCTGTATCTGCTTGAATTCAAAAGTTATACCATTTATCAATTGTGGAGGTCTGAATTTCAATAAAACCATAGTTACCATGGTAACCAATCAAAATTCAGCTCTCAAAGTCTGACTTAATACTTAAAATCAATTATTGTCTAAGATCTGAAAAAATGAGACATGTATCACCCTTATTTCAAAAGTTATAGCATCCATCCAATGTGGGGTCCGAATTTCCATAAAACCCTGGTTACCATGGCAACCAATCATATACCAGCTCCAAAAGTATAATACAATACTTAAAACCAGCTTTTTATGAAGATCTGAAAAAATGAGACATGTATCTCCCTTATTTCAAAAGTTATAGCATCCATCCAATGTGGGGGTTCGAATCTGTGAAATAGGCCCCTGTATAAATCATGGACCCATATAAGGCCAAAATCTGAGATTCTGTGGACTGATCTTTACATAAGATTGTTGCTAACATATTATAGATGTTTTCTATTTACACTTCAACCCTTCCTAACACACTGGTAACAAAATATGCACAAAATGACTCTATCATTCCTGAAAAATTGGCCTGAAAATTGACACCGGAAGGGTATGTTTTATCCATTTCCATGGCAACCACTTAACCATGTGACTTGAAATTTTTATCATAAATTCAATTAGCCCATACCAATATGCCATAGCAATTTGGATACATTCCACTGAGTATTTTTTGAGTTCTTGCCTAATTTTATAGTAGGGGTCCAAATTATAGCCCATGGGGGGTAAAATGGCCACAAAATCTAAAAGCTGAAAAACTAGGATCTAATAATTCATACAAATATGTGAAATCATACTAGCAACATGAAAAATTATGTCCCGTAAAATCCCTCTGAACACACGCATTTAGGCTCATTCTGACTGCACTATAATCTTTTCCTTACAATCTCAAATGCAATATCTCCCAAAAAATTCACGATATGTTACTAACTGGTGAAGTTATTATAGATTCAAAGTGCAAAAATGTTTAAATTTTCTGAAATAATAAGAATGGTAACCATTATTATAGAAAATAATCCATTATTGTAAAAACCTTAAGTTTTCCTGAAATAAAGTGTGCACTTTGGGGATTTTTAGGAAAAAGACATGACAAGAAATGGCATGAGCCGGAAAAAGTTAGTCCTATCTGAAAATATTCTACTGGTGTCTCAATGAGTGTAGCCAGGAATGAGGGAGATGAGGCAAGTGTCTCTCTAATATTTAATAACAGAAAATATAAAAACTTCTTATGAAGTTAATTTTCATGATAGAATTATTTCCCAATGCACTCCCTTGCTTTGCCTCCCTTGGCTTTGTGCGCTGCTGCTTTCAGTTGCATAGTTTTCAGTTGCATATATATGCTCAATATGCAAAAATAGATCTGAGATCACTAAGCGATCATAGCGCTTCTTCCATTTTTTGAGGCGAGTCAAAAAGTTTTCGAACTTGAGATTTTGATTGTCCTCCTGGCCGTAAGAATGGTGTCATATTGATCCTCTTTGGTGACGCTTCTTTGATTGGTGACACAAAACATTGTCTACAGACTGCAAGGTATTTTTCAGCGCCACCTATGACCTCAACCTAGAACATAAGAGTCCAGTTGCTATTGAATAGCGACAAACAAAATAATTCAAATACCTGTGATACCTCAAACTAGTGTTCCATATATGAAGTGTTCCACTTTGGGAGACCTGTGGAAGTGGAACAATTTTGATACCTCAAATTATTGTTCCACTCGTGAGGTGTTCCACTTTGGAAAACTTATGTAAGCGATAATTCTGAATTAGGCGAAAGAATTGAATTCTATGTTATTAACCTTATTCTGGTTATGTATTTGGATAAGTCTTTTTTTCTTGCATCCTAAAATTCTGTAAAGCGAATGTACATGAAACACATTTTTCTGCCAGAACAGATAAACTATGCAATTTATGTAGGATGGAATTAATCCTATATGTTATGTTTATCATAGCTACCTCTTTTTCAGCTCCCTTTCTTTTAGTGAAGGCTGCCTCTCCATAACAGATCATACAGACTGCATTCAGTTTTATCACACTCTCTGCCAATGGTACGAGTTGGAGAATATCAGCAAATTGCTAGAATCAAATATTTTTGTTAGAGTTTTGTATTTGAGTTGTGGGGGGGGGGCTTTGCTTCTTTGTATGTAATATTATTGTTTGTGATGTTAGGACTAAGTTTTCTAATATCCAGTAAATACTCTTTTGAATTTTCCCTTTTTTTGTGTTTTTGATAAATATTTTTGTGTTTCCCTTATTGGCAAATTTTTCTAGTTGTATGCCTGGTTAGAAAGGACGATTCTCGGTTTGGAGAACGACGTTCATCAATCTAAATGAGCATTATCCCTGCTTCGGACAAATTTGATTTTTTTTCTTTTATTTACAATAAAACAATGATAAAAAAGTTATTTAAAGGACTTGTCTAAATGATGTCATATAATGTTCATAATGGTTTTAGACTTAAATCTTAAGATTTTAAATCTTTAGATCTTAAATTGCACCTTCTGTATTTTCCCCTTGATTATGTTAGTGTATACAAGTATAGTACAACATGTATATCCAAACACTTCTCAATGTGAACACATTTCAGTTCCAATTTTGTTTTCCATTGACTTAAGAAAACTTGAACTATGAACACTTACTAATCTAAAGTATTTTGGCCTGTCCCTTTTAGTGTAGTGTTTGGATTAGACAGGTTTACCGTATGCTGTACTAAAAATATATTTTGAAAACTCCCTACCTTTCTTTGGTATGTGCCATCTAATGCTGCAACTATCACAGTTTTACCAAGACTAGCCATCTCTTCACAGAATGGTACAATATCGGGATACTGCATTTAAAAAATATGTTAAATTTAATTTCTAACAAGGCAAATGAATGAAAACAGGCAGAATTAGGGGATGTGGCAACAGCCGTGAAATGCAGTGAAACATATAACAATTTAAAACCCTGTAATTAATATATGTTTGGTTAGAGAGCAGGTCAATATTTTTATGTCAAAAAATGAAAGGTTATGCTAATGACTTTGGCTCAATTGCACTTACAAATTGTCCCTCATCAATGCCAATAACTTCATAGGGCCTGCATTGCTCTCTCAGGGGAATAAGTTCAGTGGCTTTAGTAGCTTCAAGGGTTTGACTGAAATAACAATAAAAGCACTAAACACCATGGAGAAGTACTTGCTATGATAACTGAAGTTACAGTAACGGTAAATGGATGAAATAACAATAAAAGCACTAAACACCATGGAGAAGTACTTGCTACGATAACTGCAGTTACAGTAATGGTAAATGGATGCCCAATGAAGATGACTTATCATATATAAAAAGATATTTATGCTTAATTTGCTACCCACTCAATAACAAATACAGTAACTTACTTGTCATGTGTAGCCACTGCATCGGCATCATATCGGGCATCATGGGCATACTTGATAATCATGCATTCATAGTTAGCAAACTTGAAACGTTTCATGCGACGAATTAGCTCAGTTCTGAAAAGAGAATATAAGAATATTTAATTGCAGCTGGGCCGCACTATGCTTCAAATGAAAAAAATTCACACACTAATAAGTTACTATTGGTAAGAAATTGATAGATGTTATTCAGGGGCTTCATTAGCAGCAAGCAACAGTTGCTTTTCACCAGTTACTTTCACAAAATTGCCTGTTGTTTTTAAGGACTTTTCAATTTTTCCATGTTAAGTTTATGATTTCCATTAATTTTGATGACTATCTGGGTAAGAAGTATGAGATTTTTGTAACAAAGCTTGTCAGTTCATATACTTACGTTTTTCCTGAGAACATTGGTCCAAATATAACCTGAAAATGAAGAAATATTAGTATTATAACACAATATATTCTCTTGAGAGATGACATAACTGAGAATGAGTTTTTGCATTCTACTATACACAGGGTGGAAGAGGGTAATCTCAACACATTAACATAACTGAGAATGAGTTTTGCATTCTACTTTACACAGGGTGGAAGAGGGTAATCTCAACACATTAACATAACTGAGAATGAGTTTTTGTATTCTACTATACGCAGGGTAGAAGAGGGTAATCTCAACACATTAACATAACTGAGAATGAGTTTTGCATTCTACTATACGCAGGGTGGAAGAGGGTAATCTCAACACATTAACATAACTGAGAATGAGTTTTGCATTCTACTATACACAGGGTAGGGAAGAGGGTAACCTCAACACATTGAGTAATTTTGACACATGAAATGAGTTAACTCTGAATTTCTGATAACTATCCTGAGACCTTAAGCTTACGTTAGGGGTATTCTTGGAATTCTAATACTTGAATCCCCAATCATATGGTTTAATTGCCAGAATGAGGAAATTTTCGTTTTTAAATCGCAAAATTCTTCCATCTAGACTATTAATTGCTTTATAAGGTGTTCTCCTTCTTGAAAAAAGCTGAAATATTTCCGATGTAAAACCATGGGCTTCAAGCCCATGGTAAAATGAAAGGCATGAAAATCTCTTCATTCTGCAGACACACCCATACAATTGGTGATTCAAGTGCATATAAAGAAGAATCCTAAAATACTCAGGAATGTATCGTCACAGAGACCTATTTACATATGGTTTATAGATCGTTTTAAGAACTTGTAAAAGGACACTCCTGGACCGAGCGCAATCTTTTGCCTGTACGATTACAACTTGGGAGAATTATCTATGCCCTACTTCAAGAGATTCCTTGGTATTTTAGCATTCTTTTTGTGTAGTTGAATCCACAATTGTCTGGGTATATCGGCAGAACGGTAACATTTTTCTTTTTCATCGAGAGAGATTCCATCACTTTGCAAGATGGCGGTTGGATTTAAAAGGGGATTTCCCGTTTGACTGGCCCGGAAGTACCAATAAATGGAGGAATTTGACGGTTGAAATAAGTTATATATTACACGCAAATATTGTGATCAAAAATGAAAATTTCTTTGTTCTGCCGATAAACCCAGACAATTCATGGGCATAGCGCTGTTTTTCTAAGTAGTACGCCACCACCACGGGAACAAGAGTTGAGTGAATAAAAAAGAGTATTCAGGGGGGTCTGGGGGTTCTCCCCCAGGAAAGTTTTGAAATTTGGTTGTATTTGCAGCTAATTTGCAACCATCTGGTACGCCCGTGCGTACCCAGCGTACCGGGCACTACGCCCATGCAATTGTGGATTCAACTACACGAAAAGAATGCTAAAATACCAAGGAATCTATTGAAGTAGGTTTCTAAGTGTAAGGGACGTGGATAATTCTCTCAAGTCGTAATCGTACAGGCAAAAGATTGCACTCGGTCCAGGACTATAGTCCTGGCACTGGATAAATAAAAGCGACCCCACTGCCCCCTCTAAGGCCCTCTGAGTGACTGTAGACAAAGGAAAAATTGCACATATCTGAAAGAAGCAATATACAGTAAAACCTGTCTAATCCGAACACCCATGGGACCAGCCAAAAGCGTTCAAATTGGCAGGTGTTCAGATTTCGAGGATTTTGTTGGTCGGGGGCATTTTCATTGTTCAGTCCACTATATTGAACACTTAATACTAAGTAAGAAAACAATACATGCTGTTTATTCTACAATAGGCCTATTTTTATTTACATTTTGAACAATTTCATTATTTTAGTAAAAATAACTTATATTTTGGCAAAAAATTTGTAATACACTGACAGTATAAGTATATGATAGTCTCCTACGGAATCTTATGCTTCTCAAATGACTTATCCCATATTATGGTTATATAGCACTGCTTTACTTTTGCTTGAAAAAGTCCTTTTTTTTTTTTTATACATTATCAATTTATTTCATCATAATCATGTTTTACAAGAATGGCTTGCCAATCGCTTATAAAGCATTATAGGCTAAGCTAGAAAATACATAAATTTAATTACAAATGTAAATGCATGTAATATGGAAGAATAGCAGCAATTTGGATAAGAAATGGGAAATAGGACAGGCTGGGGTCATGTGTCATAGTCTCAGTGAGGGAATAGTAGGCATAGTTAATACTTGCTTGGAGGGTCCCATAGAGAATTATGATTATGTTAAGAGTTCTCCAGTAAAAAATTGGCAACAAGAGCAAAAAGTTCATTATTTTGTGCCAGCGATAAATCGTCACTGCCATGTTTCAGAAAATCTAAAAATTGGCTTTTGCTCCTTATAGCTAAAGGCTTGTAAGTCTCTACAAGTGCAAGAAAAGTGTTCCTATTTTGTGCTTTATTTGGACAATAAAAGAATAAATGTTTTGGAGTTTCAGGCACACCACAAGCGCAGTTTGGTGTTTCAATGTAAGTAAAATTATGGCCATATAGCTGAGCTTTAGTGAGCAAGTCAACTCTGAATCTATTGAGAATTATTTCTTGATTTCTTTTTAACTTTAATTTAGTAGTTGGTAAAAAGGAGGGCTTAGGGATTTTATTTTTTTGTAAGTTATTGAAGCTGGTAATTGTTTTGCTTTCTCGAATATACTTTGGTAGCTTATTCCAGTGGGAGATAGCATTGAGGACAGAAGAGTTTCTAAATTTGTGTTGTCTTTGTGATTATAAAACATTTACTGATTGAATATTAGCTATCATAACAGACCCATGGGATATAAAACATCTAAGACCTGTTCATAATCTAAATCAAAAACATCCAGTTAATTTCCAATAAGGATAAACCAATTATCTCCCAGATTCTCACCTTTCTCTTAGTTCAAATCAAAAACATCCAGGTAATTTCCAATAATGATAAATCAATAATCTTCTTGATTCTATCCAAACATAAAACATTCAGTTCTTTTCTAATAGGATAAACCAATTAACTCCTGTATTCACACCTTTTCAAATCATCCTGTTGTTTTCCACAAATAAGGGATGTCACTGAGACTAAATAAGTTAATTAGGACAGTATTGGTTCTTTGTAGGGGTGGGACGGATAACCGAAATACCGAAAAACCGCGGTTCATAGCCTTCGGATCGGTTTTCAGATCACGGCCCTACTTTCGGATCAGCTTTTCGGATCGTTTTCGGATTAATATTTCATTGGTCAAGTATCAATAAAACAGTTAAAAACACTGTTTTACAGCAACATTTTTGATATTCCTAGTCCCTACCTTGTCTGTCTTGTCTGTTGCTAGCTCACTCGTTTACTAGATTCGTTTCGTATCCGCGTATTCATATCCCTCGGTAATCAATCATGTGGTCCCTGGTACTATATTCTTTAGTCGTGTATTCTAAATAATATGTATTGTTCATGAAATACTATAACATAAAATTCCATCTATAAAATATTGTTATAACGTGGCATAATTGATACAAAGATTTACGCAAATTTATATTTGCGCAGATTCGATATAGGGTATTATTTTGTGCGCGTTCTTTTGGGTATTCCGGCGACATCGGTCCCGAGTGAAAGGGTTCTCGACGGCTGGTGACAGCCAGTAACAGCCCAAAGGGCCCAATTGAGACCAGAAGCAGTGGACATATTAGTTTTTCTAAAGAAAAACATGAAAGTGTAAACTCACTAAACTTACACAATCATGACTTCCTCTGTAAAAAACGCATCACAGAATAAAGGTTTCTACAAGCATAAATTAGTTATTTTATTGGTTGTATTAAAAGAAAGTGACAGTCAGCAGTGAAGTCAGAGACAAAGCAGCTAATCATGTCAATCAATACAAATCCTTAAAATGAATGAACCGAACCGAAAAAACCGAACCGACGGCTGATGATCTGAAAAACCGAACCGAAACGAACCGTCCCATCCCTAGTTCTTTGATTACATTGTACATGTATATGTAAAGATAAATAACAACTATAACATTGACTCAATATGTGGCTATTATTGAAATGTCCAGACATTTGATTTCTGATAAAAATGTTCAGATTAGACAGGTCACTTTTTCATATCTGGTTGTTCACTGTTCAGATTAGGAGGTGTTCAGATTTCAAGGTTCATTTAACGTGGGAGTCAATGGGAGGAAAAAATGGGACCAAAAAGTGTTCAAATTGGAAGGTGTTCGGATTAGCCAGGTGTTCAGATATACAGGTTTTACTGTAATTTTACAATTTAGAATATCCAGTTACTTTTCACTACATAATCTGAAGAATGCACTAGTCTAGCCTAGGCCTAAAGCTTTATGCAGCCTAAAATAAATTGGCGCGTTTTGTTTTTTGACGATTCAAATTTAATTTCGTGAAAACAACGATCACTCACCTGTATCTGACCTTTCGATGCATTTGGGACAACATCTGGTACAGTTATACATGACATCATGATTCTAGATCGGTTATTTATCCCGAAATTGTGCAAAATACAATAGAATAAAGAAATTTAAGTCGAAGTAAACAAAGTCAATTTTGGCGCAATTACTATATTATCGCGAGATGTTACGAGACTACACTGAACGAAATCTCTGCCACTCACCTGTCATTACCGGGAATTCCAGGAACTCTGAATGTAGTCCTACCACGCTGTAAAAGGGTAGGATGTCCAACTTCCAAGTAATTTATGCAAAAAAAAACACCATTCACCATTTCACCATTCTGCGAATTTCTCGTATGATTTTTAGCCAAAATTGTGAAAAAGCCCCCCCCCTGGAAAAAAGCTCACCCTCCTGGTAAAAGCTGGCTACGGGCAAGTTATGGTTCTACTTTCCATTGATTTATATGATGACCTCTTTCCCTTATTATCTTGTACACAATCAGGGTCAATAAGGGCCTTTAAAAAGGGGGACCATAATCCATGGGGACCATAATTCCTTTCACACCGGTGAGCGGTATCAGTATTACCTCGAGTATACTGAGTCACTCTCGGGTTTAGACAGCTCAAGGGAATTTTCAGATAAGCCTTAGTTAAACTGTTTCCTCCCGTTTAAAACACATATTCCTATTTTATACGTTTTCACCTGTTGAGCACCTGTCAACATTACCGTTTACTTATTAATGAAGGGTCTAATGGGGGTCTACAAAAATGTAAAAATATTAAATATTAATATTTTTGAAGTTTATGACTGATGATCTTTTAAAGAATATGTTGCTTGAAAGGTAATTAGCATGGCATATATATTCTACTTGTTATATTGAAAATGAGTCTGTTTGTCTGTATATTTTAGTTCATCTTTTTTAAATAATTGTCACATTTATTTCACCTTCATTGCATGATGTTCTTCAGGATTTGACAAGTAAAAGAATACTATTAATTTGTTGTGTAACCCATAGTTTTTAATTAGCTTTGTCATAGGCGTTCCCCAGGGTTGCACTTATTGTCAAACCTATTTTGATTCATAATCTTGTTATGTTTTGAATCATGATCTTATTGGCAATAAAAGTTGAATCTATGAACATACATTAATGTACAGGCCCATCAGATCAGGGGACGGAGGTATGATGGGTGCGACTTCATCCCCTATATATGGCAACCCCAGGGCTGTCAACTTGGGACCACCTAATATGAGTGACTTACAAATGTTGGACACCGAAGTCCAAATCTGAACACTTTTGTCCAAATTTTGAACACCTTTGGCCAACTTTTAAGGTACGAAAATTTCCAATGAACATGCGTGACATATACGGGATTCGCGTGACAAATCCGAACAAATTGCGTTCGTTTTTTTCCGACGTTCGTATTTTTACCGTATCATAAACATATTTTGAAAAAAATTTTACAGAAACATATTTGCGTGACAATTACCAGGTAAAATGCGTATTTGCGTGACATTTTCTGTCACGCAAAAAAAACTGGCGTGACTTCAAATTCTTCAGCAAATGCGTGACAAATACGCAAATTGCGGGACAGTTGACAGGCCTGCAACCCCTCACTGAAATTGAAATCGTGAAACGTTTTATTATTTTTTCTAATTGACTCAAACACTTTAGAAGTGGATAGAAATCACTGAATAGCATTGAACCCCTTGAAACCTCCTACCAGAGAACAGTGGAATTAAATAGTTTTTGACTTTTGTTGTCTCAAACACAAAAAGTGTCAAGAAATAATCATAGCACCCCTCTTAAAACAATTTAAAAATAAAAATTCTGAATTTTATTATTGTCTCTAATCAACACTTGAAGTATTGGTAAAATGCTCTAGTAAGTGTCATGATAAATAAGATATAAATCCAATATATGTAATTTTCGAAACATTGACATCATATATTGATATCTGATGATATCCTCATGATAGGTCAATGGAGCCAAAAACAAAACAAAAAATCTGAGCTTCCAAGTTTCACCTACTTTCCAAGGCCAAGGTGAAGAATTTTTATCATCGTTCACTAAGAATTTATCATATTTTCACATTTTTGAAGTATTTTTTATAATTGATTATTTTGTAAATTAGACCCCTGCTGAAATCTCAAATTAATAAAAATCTGTAATGTTGTGTGACACTCAATGATGATATTATAACAAATATGAACTAATTTAAAACATTAGACTGTAACAATAAACTTTAAGAAAAATTGAACAGTGTTTAATAAGTTATACCACCCACTGTGAGTCAATTCTGATATTATTTTTCAGTTGAAAACATATAAAAATGTGCTTGCTATTAAAGAGTTTATGATATTTTTGCGTATTCATTATATATCTAAAAGAATACTTTAAATACAAAAAACTCTCTTGAAAAATGTGTGTAATGCCAAATAGATAATGAACGGTAATGTTGTGTAGTGCTCAACAAACAATACTATCACTGGTGATCCACTCGATTACCGTTTTGGTAACAAAATGTCGGAACATCGAAGGTACGATTTTTCTCGTTTCCTTATTTTACACGTTGTAGGCAGAATTCCCACGACATTTTTTTAACACAAACGTGTATCAGTATCATATGTTTAAGAAATTGTACATATTTGCGAACAAATAGTTCAGAAGACAACAGAATCGTCGATTTACTTCCTCACTTATCGCAAACATGTACATTTTCTAAAACATATGATACTGATGCACGTTGTGAGAAAAAAACGTCGTGGGGATTCTGCCTACAACGCGTGAAATAAGGAAAAAAGAAAAATCGTACCTTCGACGTTCCGACATTTTGTTACCAAAACGGTTCGTTTTGGTAACCAGCGTAATCGAGTGGATCACCAGTGACTATGTCCAGTGATATTATATCTTCCGATACAATCTGTTTAAAACAGCGAGGTGCTTCAACGGGAGGAAGTTATTAAAATTTTGTCAATTCGTTTAGTACTAGTTCAGTCTCCGATCCTCTCAATCCAATCGTCAGAAAAATATTTGACAAACCATTCGACCGCAAACCTATAAATGGCTTTTTCATTTTGAGGATATGGTGTGACTCTTTTTGAGTTTGTTCATCCTAGGCCCGGGATCCTAGGCGCCATTAATTTAGTACCTTTATAAACGGCGATAAATCATGTAAAAATGGAAACAAACAAGCTCGTAAACAAAGTATTCATTTAGTACCGTTTATAAACGGTGATAAATCATGTAAAAATGGAAACAAACAAGCTCGTAAACAAAGTACTCATTTAGTACCGTTTATAAACGGTGATAAATCATGTAAAAATGGAAACAAACAAGCTCGTAAACAAAGTACTCATTTAGTACCGTTTATAAACGGTGATAAATCATGTAAAAATGGAAACAAACAAGCTCATAAACAAAGGAAGTTATAAATTGGATATGAACTGCCACATATATCCAAAACATTTTGGCAGCGGTGGGATTCGAACCCACGCCTCCGAAGAGACTGGTGCCTTAAACCAGCGCCTTAGACCGCTCGGCCACGCTACCTGTAGGGCACTTAGGGGTTAATGTTGTTATAAAATCAGAACATAGCATAAAGTTTTTGTTAAAGGCTCCATGTAAAGTTTTAAATAATGTTTTTATCATTCTTTTACTATTTTTCGTGACTTTAAAAGTTATTTTAAAGATTTTGGTAAATTAAAAATAAAATTGGGGAAAAAGTTATCAGCTATTAGTTATCTCACAAATATTCAAGGGGGGGGGGGTGTTTGTAGAACAAATTCAAACTTCATATGGCTGGGAATCATGGATAATCAATTATTTTTTTGAATAATATAAACAATAAATGCTGTTTAGGTTTAATGTATTCCAATTATTTCCATCGTCGGTTGCCACTATATAAACAAAAACAACCCAATTAACGCATTTAAAGGAGGAAAATTGAAGATGAGGCAATCATTTGTCTCATGATGAATGGTTACCATTTTTATTATTTGGGAGAATTGGATTTTATCAATTGATAACACAGATCTTTTGGGAGATTTATTTGAGCTTGTGAGGAATGTATTGGTAGATCAATTCACAGATATTGGCCAGATCGTTTTGTAGTAGGATCATAGGCTCAAAGAATAATACAGAAGATACGACACTAAATTGGAAAATTTCGAAAAAAAAGTGACCACCTTTCAAAACGTTCCTTATACAAAATGGTACCTGTTTCCCCGTGACAGATTTTGCACTTATTTTATAGCTGAGATCTTCATCTTTCTATTTCTACTTGTTTGGTTCGAGTAAATAACCTATGGATGCAGTTATTTGACTTTCAATACGGCGAATATTTTTCACGAAATCCGGACTCTTGTGTGTCCAAATATCATTGTAATGATGACGTCACATTTCTGGAACCACGGGAGCAACATTCAGATTTGGACAGACAAGAGTCCGGCGATAAAATATCACTGTTTTGGCCTCTTATCAACGCAGTATTGCTTGAATAACGGCCATTGGTGATAAAAAAGGTAAAGAATAACAAGACCCTTCGAATGAGGTATGATTTGTCTCATATTTTTCAGAAATGGCTCCAGAATCGTCATTTTAAAATTTGAAATTTTCTGAGGTGTCTCATCTTGAGGAAATATTATTGAGCTACTGATTCTACTACAAAAGAATCTGGCCGGGATCTATGGATCAATTGAACATATTGCTTGCAATTTTGTCACTCCCTATTCTGATTCTGCCTTTAATTTTTCCATGGCGTGGTCGAAAGATGTCAAAGATTGGCGCCCGAATCTCATATAATGTTTATCTAAAGCCATGCTCATTCTTGATCTAAAAGTGAGTCTTTGCTTTTGTTTTAAGGGAGACAATTATGGGTTAATGATGTAGCCACCGTTCCATATGGGCCATATGATCAGTGATGTTTAAAAAAACGGGATGATCGATCCCTAGATTATACCTAAGAGCTCTTCAAAAAGAAGTATCAAGATGGCGACCAATGGCTCGGAAAAATGTGGCTGGTCAGCTTCTCAGCTTCGAAAGTACAGTTTCCAGACAAAACCTATCTCCAGAATGAGTCACAAGGATCCAGAGGCTGACAGACTCATCGCAAATGGGGTAAGTATTGTCATCGTGTTTCATCGGGTCCTAAAATCGTACAATTATTGTAGATCTTCATTTTTCAATGTTACCCGAACTTTTGAAGTGATTGAAATCGCTTTGGTCACAATTTTTGTTATTGAAACGTGACTTGGTTCACGACATTTTATAGTATTTGCAATTTATTAACTAATTTCAAGAGCATTTTAACCTCTACATTTTAAGTGCATTGATTGGCCCTTTTACAGCAACCTCAAGTAATGTTTATGTCACATTGACCCGTATAAGCTTACAGCTGTCGATTTACATTGTAAAAAGATACTTATGAGTTAATTGTGAAAAAACTAAGCACCTTAGAAATGTAAGGCGGTGATATGTTGTCAAAAAGTTTGTTGAGTCTGATATTACAGTGTGGGTCTTAGGATTTTTCTGTCACTTGCCAATGTCTTTGTCAATAATCTGCCCATATAAAGCAGATATATAATTTAACAGTGAAAGAATTTGAATACAATATAATTTAAAACCTTAACATTTAAAAATAGATCTATGGTTTACAACTCATTTTAAAATTGATCGGAACCTTCCTGGTTGGCCCCTGTACCCCCCCCCCCAGGAAGTCCCTTTATTTTGAAATACCCTGGGGCTTACTTCGGTCCAAAGCCTTCTCTATAGTCCGGCTTTGAGTAGGAAGATTGAGCTGCCTTAGTATTATAAATATTGTAAATCATTGTGTCACACGCACAGTAAATATGGCATAATAATATGAAATATACCTTTATGTATAGATTTGAAGAACATCAGCTCACATCCCCGTCTGAATCTATTGTTATATTTGATTTCTTTAAACGAGAATAATATTTCAAATTTTATTCACGTCCAGAACCGGAAACCATTTTTAGCTACAACGAGAAGATTTCACCATGTGTCAAACTCCGAAATGAAATTTTGAAATATCTAAATCCAGACAAGCAACACTTCATCCTAAATATGATTAATATTCTTAAAAATATTTATGAAATTTATTAAAAATGAGTTCTAGGTGCGTGTAGGTGCATGTAGCACCTTTTCTAGAGTACATACGAAATCAATGAAGTTACGTCTAGCTGTAAGCTAGAGACTCGAGTAACCTGGGGCAACTGTCAGGCTACCGCGTTGACATCCCCCTTCTTTACCAGTAGTGCAGGCTTGTTACTGTGCACTGGGAACATTTTACATTAAGACATAGATCTATATTCAAAACACACCTATTTAATTGCAGTTGTTGACATAGGCATAGTATGATGATTTAAAACTACTTAGACTGTCACAATCTAAGATTTCACCAGGTAAAGTGTTCCATTTAGCTATTGTCCTAGGGAAATAGCTAAATTTGTATGCATTCGTTCTAGTTGATGGTTGTATGAACTTAGAAGGATGAAATACAACCTAGTGTTTGTATTGATCTGTTGGCGGAAGTATGGAAGCACGTCGCTGGCTGCTAGGTTCTGCTTTCCTTTGTAAAAAAGGAAAACTCTAGAGGCCTCTCGACACTCCTTCAGTGACTCCCACTGTAGGTCTTGAAGAGCTTTGGTGACGCAGCCTGGTTCCCTTGAGTGACATTTGGTTACAAACCTGGCTGCTCTTCTCTGTACCTGTTCCATCAATCAATATCAATATCTTTTTGTCTGTTCATAGATTTGTGGCAACCCACTCATGTTTTCAAACTTGCCAATGAAAAATTACACTCGCCACATTTTTGCCACTGATGATACGTACTCACAGTTTTCTTGTGAATAATAGTCTTCAAAAAGAAAGTAATATGTTTATGAAAGTACATTAAATTGACTCAGTTCTATTACATTCAACAATGGCGAATTTCATGTTTTTCATGCTTGACAATGTGGCATTAGTCACTTCAATTTTACACTCGATTCTAAATATTTACATCTGCCTGGGGCTACATGTCGAGTGGATATGACCCACACTGTATTATCACAGAAACTTTGAGCACTATGATATCTCAGAGTCTAAGTGAGATTGCAAATTCTAATATAAGTTTTGTATTATTTTCAGCAACCAGTGCTATTAACAGACACAAAACTTGTTTCAACGGCATTACATTGGGATTTGGAGTACCTCGTGGGAAACCTGGGTGATGGACAGTTCTCAGTTTACGAATCAAAAGATCAAAAATTTATGTATTTTGATGAAAAGAAAGCAAAGGAAATGAAAAGTTTTGAACACCCTACAAGAAGAATTGAAATGAAATTCAAAGATTTTGTGGAAAAAATAAAAAATCATAAACCGGGAGATAAAAAGTAAGTTGGATTCTTTTTAATCTTATTTCAGTTAAGTTATTGTAACGAGTAATGATACAAGACAAAAGCCTCTAAATTATTTTCGGGGTGTAACCATAATCTGATATTAGCCAAATCAAAAGTAGAAAGATGAGGCCAATCAAGTTTCAGGAGTTTCATTTTCACACTGTTTTTTGTTTAAAAAAAATCTGAAAATATATTTCCGTAAAATTTGAATGAGACAGTTTTCCAACCAGCCTTGTGATTTTCTACGCCCATGATTTTCAATAATGTATCTCTGATTATCTTATATCTTGTATTTCAGAATATACCTTCAACAGACTTTAAATGATGATGTCGGGAAACGGATAGTGATCGACTTCCTCGGCTTCAACTGGACTTGGGTGACTGAGCAGCAAAAGAAAAATGGCTGGGGACAGCTGACTTCAAACCTTTTACTCATAGGCCAAGAAGGTATGATTAAACCGTTTTGACTAAGAATGTATAGAAACCTTTATTAAAATGCCAAGAAGGTATTAAACCTTTTAGTCAAGAAGATATGACTTTGAAGCCTTTAGACCAAAAATGTATAAGACCCTTTTATCAAATGCCAAGAAGGTTTAAAACCTAACTCAAAGATCAAGAATATAGAGAATCTTTTTGTTTACTCAAATTACCAAAAACTTATAAAACCTTTAAATCATGTGCCAAGAAGGTAAACTATTTTACTGAAAGACCAATAAGGAAAAAAATGTTGCCTTTAGATTTCATAGACATTGATTTAAAAATTAACTAGCTGGTGTCTTGAGGATATAGTAATTCACTTAACTTTCCCTGTTGTGTTGTCTTTTAACAAGATCACCCAGGGTTCTCACTAGGCTTTTAGAATCCGAAGATTTCCTGGTGAGAACCCATCTTAAACATTATGTTATTAATTAAAAATTGCCAGACCTTACATCAAAAGTCCAAATCCAGTTAAAATAGACCAGGCAGCAAAGAGTTAATTATAAATTGTATGAGCAAAGCCCATGGCTTTATACAACAACCCATGGCTTTATACAACAGCCCATGGCTTTATACAACAGTCCATGGCTTTATACAACAGCCCATGGCTTTATACAACAGCCCATGGCTTAATACAACAAAGTACCAAGCTAGAGAAGCTAGGACTAATTATTCATATTCATAAATGGGTCATCAAATTCATACAACACATATTGACTTGTATTTTTCATTTTCAGGAAATGTAACTCCAGTCCACTATGACGAACAAGAAAATTTTTTCGCCCAAGTCCAGGGCTACAAAAGAATACTGCTCTTCCCTCCAGATCATTTTGAAATGCTTTACCCCTACCCAGTTCATCATCCTCATGATCGGCAAAGTCAGGTATTACTGTTATTATTTTATTTCACACATTCAGATAATGCAATTCATAGAGTGGAAGCCTCCCTATTTGGAGTATTACTCCCTCAGTTGGAAATTACAAAATGAATTCTGATAAAATATTTACTTATCCCCTCAACTGATCCCCTCTACCTCACTTGTGCGAGTAGATGGTATTATCAAATGAAACTATGATATCTTAGTATGTTTTCTCCCTGTTTTCTGTTTCCACAGAGCAGGGACAGAATTTACCCGACCATTGTTTTCTTAAATATGCAAAGAAATTCCTCAGAAGTTCATCTATAGATTCTTAAAGCAAGGCATTTTCTTACTGCAGAATCACAAATCAACATAGGAATTATAAAAATTGGAGGATTGTTTGTTTTAGTATTGTTTGAAATCTGTGACCCTCCCCCTGTTCCCTGACTTTCCTATTTGAGTTTTAAGTTGATGGATATACAAGGTAATGCAAGATTTAATATGACAGTTAGTTATGCCACCACACAACTTGGGTAACAAACTGTTTTCTTTCGGTTACTAGCACAGTTTTTTTTGATATCTGCATTGGTAAGACTGAGTTAAGCACTATGTGTTCCCCTTAATCTCATTTTCATTTTTGACACCCATTCAATATTATCTTTGTTTACAGTGAAGGTCTACATTTTTCCCAGTCCATTTCTGGAGGAGTCAACATCTGAATTATTTGTTATACTTTATATTATATTACACATTTAAAGTCATATAACTTTGTTTTAAGGTGGATTTTGACAACCCAGATTTAGAAAAATTTCCTCGCTTCAAAGAAGTGGAACCTATAGAGGCAGTAGTTGGTCCAGGGGAAGTCCTTTATATACCAATGTATTGGTGAGTTTATGTATAATACCCCTATTGCTGTGCTTTTCAGTGTTGCACTAGCACTGTTCCAGTGTTTGTGCTTTTCAATACTAAGCATGAGCACTGTTCCAGTGTTTGTGCTTTTCAATACTAAGCATGAGCACTGTTCCAGTGTTTGTGCTTTTCAATACTAAGCATGAGCACTGTTCCAGTGTTTGTGCTTTTCAATACTAAGCATGAGCACTGTTCCAGTGTTTGTGCTTTTCAATACTAAGCATGAACACTGTTCAAGTGCTTGTGCTTTTCAATACTAAGCATGAGCACTGTTCCAGTGTTTGTGCTTTTCAATACTAAGCATGAGCACTGTTCCGAGTGTTCACTTTTGTATAATTAGAACTTTTTTGACTATAAAATGATTTTGAAATCAAAAAGTCATATTTGTTGATACAGCAGAAAGTATGGTATAAAGAAGTTACTGTGTGAGCACATAAGCCATTGGTCTGTCATTTGGAAAATTAGTAAATTCTTTTTTGCAGGTGGCACCATGTTGAGTCACTGCAGAATGGTGGTCAGACTACTTCTATAAACTTCTGGTATAAGGTGAGTGGGTGCTGCACCCACTTGAGATTTTAATAATAGGCTTGCACCCATCTAAAAGTCTATTTGCACCCATTTGAAAAGGAGAAAAATCATGAAAAATAGGCATGGTTTGACCAAAGGATGAGTTTCGGTTTGGAGAACAGTCTCCTGCGCTAATAATTCTTTTCATGAAAAATATAGAAATATCACCCAAATTAAATAATGAATATTCAAAATAGGACATTTAAATCTACAAGATGTAAAAATATCACAATTGTCCGAAGCAGGGATAACGGTGCAGTAGACCGATTCAATAGAATACACGTCTCGATTTGGAGAAAAAAGTTCATCAGTGTACTGCACTAATATTTTTTTATGAAAAATCTAGAAATATCACCCAAATTAAATTATAACTATTCAAAAGAAGACATTCAAATCTATATTATGTAAAAAAATCAAATTTATCCAAAGCAGGGATAACGCTCGTTTAGAGTAATGAACTTCATTCTCCAAACCGAGAATAGACCAAATTTGGTCTAAATTTTGAAAATAAGAATTTGGCACCCATTTGAGAAAAAACCTGGGGAGATCACTGATTTCTGTACATTTCTGTACTTCTTTTACTGGTGTTATCAGCAAATGAGGCATTATTATTATACAGTAGGAACAAACAGGAATGTATTAAAGAGGTGCTATTTGATATTTGAGTCAGATTGCCTCCCTTTAACATAAATGCACAGGCCCGTAGCCAGGATTTGCCAAGGGGGAGGGGTTTAGTTTTCAAAAAATTCTAGGGGGGTTCACATTTGACAATTTTCGACCAAATATAGCTAAAATCACTTGAGAAGTGTTCAAAATGGTGAAAAACTGCGTGATTTTGAAAGAATTTTTGGCCAGGGGACCCTGCGAAACCCCCTGGTTACAGACCAGAAATGTGATAACCATAACTAATGATTCTGATGTTGGCTTCTTTGAAAAAGTAATTCTTTTTTTGCAGTCTGCGCCAACTGGAAAAATAGAGTACCCGTTAAAACCTCAACAAAAAGTAGCAATGATGCGCAATATTGAAAAAATGATAACTGAAGCCCTGAATAACCACGAAGAGGTAAGTTGTTTTCCTGCCAAAAGATGTCACTAGTATTGTCTTTAGAATATTAGAAATCTCCATTTCATCATGATCATCTGTGAATATTCTTCATAATTTCTCGTACAAATAAAATGAAGATTTAAGATGGAAAAATCTACTATAATAATTAGGGGTGAGACGACAACTCGATGAGTCGAGGACTCGCGGGTTTGGGGCTTCGAGTCGAGTCGAATCGAGTCGAAGTTGATGAATCGAATCATTTTCGAGTTGAGAAAAAAATTCGAAAAAGTAAAAAAATTCAGAAAAATACTGTCAATATGCATGTTTTTACTCGATATTGCGTTGAATATATAAGTTTCAATGACTTGGATATGCTTGTATTAAATTATTATATTGTATGTACACATAAATGAAAGAATATATGTAATAAAATCAGAATAAACTTACGACGAATTGTGTTTGTTTATATTTCCGGCTTTCCACCATTGACGCATTAAAAATACGAACGGTCAAAAGCGATGTTGTTCGCACTTTGCGCGGCTCGAAACGGATTCGAAACTCGAATCGTCATTTTCTGACTCGAATCGGATTTGACTCGAATCGGATTTTTTCGACTCGTCTCACCCCTAATAATAATGTATTCATTCTCTGAAGCTATACTCTTCAAGTTTTTAATGGACTTTCAGATCAGATACATATAATAGCATGTATATTATATTTTACCAGTTAACCCAGTAGAGAAAAAAACCCATAAAGGATAGGTATCGATATGGAGAACTGAATTCAACAATGTTTTTCTCTTAAACCAATCATTGAAAACATTCTGTAAAAAACATGGTATTTTATGTAATGTTGACTGATTGACAACAATTTAATGCGAAAATTATTTAGAAATATTTTATATAACTGTTTTTGTTAACATTTTTTTTTTTAGTGCAATTGTTTTTGCTCCTTTCTACCAATTCTTGAGAATGAAATAAAATGTCTTTCCGAACCTTGTTGGAACAAAATAGCATATGCAACATGTTTTTACACCTCTCAATATTAAAGTTATACAAAGGAATTTTTGGTTGATTTTAAAAAAGTATTCAAAAAATTAAAACAAAATCCCCCCAAAATAGATAAAAAAAATCAAGAAAACCCTTTTATTTCATGAACAAGATACTTTTTTAAAATCAACAAAAATTTCCTTTGTACAATTACAATATTGAGAGACCTAAACATGTTGTGTTTATGTCGTTTAGTTCCAATGAGGTTCGGAAAGATGTTTCATTTCACTCTGGAAACATGATACTAAGAACAAAACAAGTGTTTGATGTGTTTTTTAAAACAATATAGATGAAAGTATGTATATCTATTTCAAATTATATTGTTACCATTCAAAAGATGGCCATTAAATTGACAATTTGTAAGACTTTCAGAAATTTTTGATGACTGGTTTAAGAGAAACGTGTGTTCAAAAAGTTCGCCATATTGATACCCATTCTTTATTTCCCAAGGAATAAATGGATTTTATTTCAAAGAAATTAAGATAGCAAACAATTACAGTTTTTATCCTATTTTTCTCAATATTTCATATTTTTATTTGTTCTTCATTTTGATACTTGTGACATCTTTATATTGTAATATCAACCATTTTTGCATTCAGATTCTGTGTTTGGCATCTTTAACAAATTGTTACACTTTTATATCCATTTTAAGTAACTTACTAGTTGGTGAAATGGCTTATGGGCCATGTAAACCAGCACAGAATATGCAAATTAGATAGATACATACCTTGCTTCCTCCTAAGCAGGTGTCCAGAATCCGTACCTCCTTCTTCCCCCTGCTATAACCAATTTGGTAGCGCCCTATTAAACTGAATCACGTGATCTAATTATGCGCAATGACTTCTACATGATTTCTGTCGCAGTGTTATGACAACCAATCAGATTGCGAGTTCTTAAGCGGGGAAATGCTAACTGCTTATCACAGGGGGTAAAAAGAAAGAATGTATTCTGGATTTTGAAGCCCTGGATGGAACACTTGCTAATCTGAACACTTTTGACCAGTCCCAGCTTAGTAGCATTCAGATTAGGTAAGTTTTTCTGTAAATGGTTTTTATGATTTGATTAAATATGATATTCATATCTTTAATCATTTCTTTGCAGGTTGGGCCTTTCATGAAAGCAATGGTGTTAGGGAGGTACTCCTAGAAAGACAGTTTTACCTAAATCAGCATAAATGAGACAGTGTGTTACATAACATAATACAGCAATTTACACATGTACAAGTGAAATATTCCAGTCTTAGTGAAATGGCCATAAAATGGTGACAATTTCAAACAAGGGACAGTTTTTTTATGTTTGTGACACGATGAGGTAGTCAGTCATGATGAAGTGCCACCTATAGTAATTGACCAGGAGTAGCTTTTATCTCATAAGGACATCTAGAAAATACTGAATCGCAGCAAGAAAATACAGCACGGACGTGAAAATTGAAAAGCAGAGGGCATTTGTCATCAACAATAGAAAATTAAAGCTTGCATATTGCTGTGTACATTTAAACATGTTATAGTTATGGAACTTTTTGGCTGTCTGCAATCATCACATTGACCTTGAACATCAAATTATCCTTTCACTCTGAACGAGAGCATGAAAATATTGTGAATTATGTTTTAGTAATTACAGTTCAGCTCATTTCTATTTGAAATTATTCCAAGGACACAACTGAGTGCTGAAATATTCATGGATTTCTTTAGCTATATTTATTATAACTTTGCCAAAGCATTTCCCACCAATCATTGGAGACAATATCAGATTAAATCCTTTCCAAATTATATTTCATCTCATTTTAGACATCTTCAGATTTTAGAGTGATTCTTCATTGATTTACAATTTGCACATTGCTTTGAGACCTTGAGTTTACATATACTGTAGTTTACATGTCAGATCCATAGCCGGTTTTGCTAAAGGGGTCAGGTTTTATAAATTTCCAGGGATTGGGTTACATTTGACAATTTTGACCCAAAACCATTTAAAAATTGCTGAAAATGGTGAAGAACTGCATGATTTTGAAAGAATTTTTGGCCAGGAGAAGGGGGTTGAACCAGCATTGTAGGGTCATATCATGTGAGACTATTATGTCATATTTGAATTTGGTAGATGAGGAACTGTAACTTGGCACTCTTATTGGTCATAGTAAGCTGAAATTGTGGCTCACATATGCTTCTACTGTACTATATGAATTTGCTTCACTATATGTACTTGCAGTATCTGGTCTTGATTGTAATTTAAAAAATCCTTAGTTACATGTCCATGTATCTAGATGTATCTCTGTGTATGAATATTAAAATTTCAAATATACTTATATAATGTATTTTATTTTTTTATGGATACATGTAATTCAAATCTAGCTTTGATTGCTTAACTGTCTGTAGCTATCCCATAATCCTTCGCAAATGAGCTTGATCTCAATAGATGTCTTCTCGCAAAGTCCTCCAGTCAAAATTGCATTATCAATTGTGGAATATTCAAAATGTTTGATTTTCTGCGTTTATATCATCATGTCATCTTCAGTTGGCATATAGCTCTCATTAAAAACTCATGCATGCAATAAATCTGAAACATTATTGTAATATGTACTTGTATGCATTGTAGCAATGCATTGTAGCAATGCAGTGATATCTCTGTATTGGATTCACTTATACAATGAATATATTTAAATGCAAAGTGTAACAAGCTGATTGAGTTTGTATTATTTTGTGTAACTACATGTAGTAAAATTTTAAATGTTAGTGAGTACTTTGTTTCTATTTTTACATAAACTGTTTCAATTTGGTCATTTGATTGCTTATTTTTTAAATTCAAAGTACTCATAAACATTTAAAATTTAAAAGTTTGGTAGAGATATTGTGTTCTCTATGTATAGGGTGGTCCAAAAAAGTGGAACATTACTTAAAATGTAGAAAATTTATTTTCATTCCTAAATACACCAACATTTTACAAAGTATAGATCATTCAAATGTGTATTGGCATTAAAGTTTAAAGGTGCAGTCTATCATGGTTTAAAAGGTTAAAAAGGCAATGTTAAATACCCCCCCCCCCATTTCTGAATTACGAGTTCCAGCATGGGTTCATTGTCGAAATAATTCTTTCAATTTACCCTTTGTTGATTTTTATTCAAGCTATCTTGATTACAGACTTCAACCTGGTCAAACCTCCAATATGTTTGCCAAAGAAGATTTGATAACACTAAAATATTTTGTTTTCAAATTAGTTGGTATTATAGGTACATTTTGATGGTCATTGTTGGGTGTACATTGGCGTTGCGCTATATTTCTAAGTAGGACGCCACCGCAGGAACAGTAGTTGAGCGAAGCAAAAAACAAGCGTTTAGGGGGACCTGGGGGGTTCTCCCTCAGGAACCGGGCGCTACGCCTATGGTGTATCAATAAAAAGTCTGTATTGATTGGTAAATGAAGTCCCTCCCGGATCCTGTTCAAAAAGGAAGTAATGGTAGCGAATTTCTTTATTTTTATTTTTATGTCACCACCAGAAGTGGTGACATATTATGGCTTGTGTGTCCCTCTTTCAACGACTTGTGTATTGCCTGCAGCTTCATGGTGACGACAATACATTCTTGCAAAAAGCATCGAAAGCGCAACATATTAGACATAACTCTGACATAGAATGGTCATTCAATTTATCTTTGAGTTATTTTCTAAAATGTCAATGAATATATAAAATGCTACAACTTTAAAATAAATATTTAAACCCATTGAATTTTGCACCATCTATTGGCGTTCTGAAGATCAATGATTTTGATGAAGGTACACCCCCCTTCATTAGTTTGACAACCATATGTTTTATTGGATACCATATCAGAGTCTGCTGGCTTAATTTTGTTCACTCATTACAATAATATGGAAATGGATGACTTTGATGAATTTATTGAAATTGCCAAACATAAATAGACAATGATAGGTGATTCAAGAAGGGACTTCCATTTGCCAAACTTATAGAGGGGAGTGTATGCAGCATTTAGTCCGTGGTTAAAAAACTATATAAACAGCATTAATAACCAAACAAATAAAAAGCAAACATCAAACAGCGAAATACGATACAGCCCTCATGGAGCACATATACTGACTGAATTGATATACTAACATATTGTGACATTGAGCCTTTTATGTTGGTTTTATTTGTGATTGATGTTTTGCTTTTAAGTTCACTAAAACTGAAAGGTTAAAATTTTCAAGTGTACTGGTGATTGTACATTCACAATAAATTCCTCAAATTGATATTAGCCCTTCATTTCATTTTAATATCTACCTATCTATAATCTTGTGGTTTTGTATGAGAAATTGTATGATTTATTAGGTAAGAAAAGAATGAATAGTTTGTATGAAATTTGCATATATAGATACTCTAGGGCTTGATTGAAAATATTATAGTCAGGGCTTTTTAGGGCTTGATTAAATATATTATAGCCAGGGCTTCTTAGGGCTTGATTGAAAATATTATAGCGAGGGCTTTTTAGGGCTTGATTGAAAATATTATAGTCAGGGCTTTTTAGGGCTTGTTTGAAAATATTATAGCCAGGGCTTCTTAGGGCTTGATTGAAAATATTATAGCCAGGGCTTCTTAGGGCTTGATTGAAAATATTATAGCCTGGGCTTTTTAGGGTTTGTTTGTAAATATTATAGCCAGGGCTTCTTAGGGCTTGTTTGAAAATATTATAGCCAGGGCTTCTTAGGGCTTGATTGAAAATATTATAGCCAGGGCTTCTTAGGGCTTGTTTGAAAATATTATAGCCAGGGCTTCTTAGGGCTTGTTTGAAAATATTATAGCCAGGGCTTCTTAGGGCTTGATTGAAAATATTATAGCCAGGGGTTCTTAGGGCTTGTTTGAAAATATTATAGCCAGGGCTTCTTAGGGCTTGTTTGAAAATATTATAGCCAGGGCTTCTTAGGGCTTGTTTGAAAATATTATAGCCAGGCCGGGCTTCTTAGGGCTTGATTGAAAATATTATAGCCAGGGCTCCTTTGGGCTTGATTGAAAATATTATAGCCAGGGCTACTTAGGGCTTGTTTGAAAATATTATAGCCAGGCCTCCTTAGGGCTTGTTTGAAAATGTTATGGCCAGGGCTTGATCGAAAATATTAAAGCTAGTGCTCCAAATGGGATTATTAATCATGTATCTGTATTACATGTAATGTAAATGTGGAAAGTGATTGCCTCACTACTCTGAAATGATATTTCATGTGTTAAAATGGAACCAATTGCTTCAAGTGTTAATTGGGAAAAAATGAAAATAGTTATTTTATATACTGTTAAAGTGGTAGCAAAGACTTCTATAGTGTATAATGTAAGTCATCAAGCCTATTTTATTTGAGTTAATTGAGTTATCTGATCAAATAAAGAAATTGTTGTGTTCTTAAAACCTCATTATACAAGAAAAATTATTCTACCTCACTTTTTAATTGATTTTCCAATTGTTTCTTAACTCAAATATTAAAAAATTGAATTCCAAAGACCTAATCTGAACACTTTTGACCAGTCCTAGTGGTCTTTAGATTGGATAGTGTCAATGCACAGCATCAAAAATAGGCTTCCCCTATATTTAACATTAAGAGGGGCCAGTGGTGCATTCCTGAGGCTGTGCATGACACTGTGGGTAACATTTCCATATGATGTATGATTTATGTGTATATGTTAAATTCTGAACACAAACACTATAGGTTTAATATAAAGTCTTGTTTGTTTTAGGACTTTTGCCTTGTTTGGATAAATCTATATTTGAATGGGTGGCATGCTATTGCTAGTTTAAATAAGAATACTAAATCACTATAATCCATCTCGTGTAATATAGAGCATGGGCGTCTTTAAGAATCACCAATTTTTTGAATGACATATTATCATTTTTCATGTGATAATGTATACAAAATACATTTGTTTAAAAAAATTGTTTTAAATGAAAGAAGTTTAACATTTAGCATGATATATGTCATGTTTTTTAGATCCATTTGTGTGCTTTATTTAATGTTGCAAATAACAAGGGCATGTTTAACCTATTATTTCAAAATCCTATTGGTTGGTGATTCATTTCCTTTTAAAGCATGTTAAACCTTGACAATAGCAAATCCCTAGTTTTTATACAGTTGAGCGGGCTCTTTACAGGTATTTTACTGGTGTATTATAATAAAGAAGGGCGGGCCCATTGACCACATGAAATCACAGTTCATGTGTACTAGCATAGGACTGTATAATATTGGTATAATTGGATCAGCTTCCATTTGCATGTGAAGTTGAATTTGATTGTTGTATTTACTTCAACGACTGACTGGGTGTAGCACATTGGAATGCTGAGTTGAGTGTGGATAAAACTCACATCTTAACAGTTTCAATTAACAGTCAGCAAGCAGGTATAACAAGGATTGGATTTAAAGCAATACAGCAACAATCAAAATGGCTAAAACTTCACTCTCAAGTTTTAAACCCGCTGCAGGGATGATTTTGATATTCCTGGGGGCGGGGTTGTGTATTGGAGCGCTTGTGACCACAGGATGGCTCGTTGATTGGTCATTCCGTCCTAGGACTGGAGAAACTAGTCGACATAAAGGATACGGCTTGTTCCAAGTTTGCGATGTTGCCTTCTTAACAACTTTCGGAGTGAACCTTGATTGCGAAACTGTTGCTTCTAAATTAGGTAAGAAAATATGAAAATAAGTCAACTCACATTGCAGTCATTTTAGGGAATGAGATTTGTGCTAATATTCCATTTGTTATTACTATAATGAGCATACATTAGCCAGGCCAATAGCCAAAAAGTTATTAATTAAGATATTTGTTTGAAACTGAAAAGAGGCCTATTATTGATTTTACATTATACCCAGTTTTTGCCTCACCTATTTAGGTTTGCCTCACTTATTTAAATTTGCCTCGTCTATTTCTGGATCTTGGCAATGCCCTTGAATAAATTTCTAGAGGACCCATAGCTGTATACATGACGTAGGCAATGTTGTAGTATCCCCCTAAACAAATGTGTAATCTCTGAGTATAAGGTGACAAATGATGGGGGATGTGATACATACTATACCATTGCCTATGGGAAATTGCATTACTTTATTGTATTATATATGAACTTTTTCATTTACCCTGAATCACATCACTTAGTCACACCATCCTCTGAGATTATCAGATGATTTTACAATTTTTGTACTGATATGATCTTAATGGGCTCCTTTGAATGAACCACATGAAGCTCTCTTTTAAGAAATGAAATAAAAGTATTAATTGGTAAGGGTATCACACATGCAATACTTTCATGTAACATATGATTGCCTGCTAACCTATTATTTGTGTATTTAATAAATTTGAGTAAACGGTAAATTACAGCTAAATTACAGTACATACCTTACAGAGGGGGGGGGGGGGGGGGGGGGGCTTTACAATAACGGGGAAACAGGGAGTTAGGTGAAGATGAAGTCGTGGTCTCTGAGTTTAAATTAAGGGAATTTAAAATATTCACATCAGTGTACATTTGAACTTTGTAAAAGCATGTGCATTGCTTGGAAAATTATTTTATTGAAAATACACCTGTGAGCTTTTCTGATTTTTAGCTGCATTGCATGTTTTGGCAGTAGCTATGTGTTAAACTGCATAACATTTTAAGGTAGCCTGCACAATGAAAATTTAGTCAATTTTTTTATAATTATAATAATCACTAATGATTAATTAAATGGGTAATATTTTCAAAATTTTAGGTTGATTTTACCTGTTATGGAAAAATACATAATTCAAAATGAAAACTTATCAATGAAATGTTATGAATACATTCTCTACATTATTGTTTCAACTTTTAAGTGAAGGTGCAGATTCACCTTAAGCTGGCTGTATAACTTAATCATGAATGTTGTCAATATTGGCAAAGTCTTTAATATAAATAATGTCAATATGTCCTTAATACTAAAGTGTACAAAACCCAGGTGTGGAAAATGTATATAACAGAATATCTGAATATCCATGCTTTTAACTCTATTTCATTTTGTTAATGTGAAACTTTAGTAGTATTGATGTGAATACTTTCTGATGTGAACACTTTCTGATGTGAACACTTTCTCACGTGACCACTTTCCAATGTGAACACTTTCTCATATGAACAATTTCTCATGTGAACACTTTCTCATGTGAACAATTTCCAATGTGAACACTTTCTCATGTGAACAGTTTCTCGTGTGAACAATTTCTAATGTGAACACTTTCTCATTTGAACACTTTCTCATGTGAACACTTCTTGAACAGAATTTGAAAACATCTTGTTGCTTTTAATATTGCTAACCATTGAGATATTATTCACTGTGGGATGTTTTCCTTTACTTTCAGACCCATGGCTGCTAACCATTGAGATATTATTCACTGTTGGATGTTTTCCTTTACTTTCAGACCCATGGCTGCTAACCATTGAGGTATTATTCACTGTTGGATGTTTTCCTTTACTTTCAGACCCATGGCTGCTAACCATTGAGATATTATTCACTGTTGGATGTTTTCCTTTACTTTCAGACCCATGGCTGCTAACCATTGAGATATTATTCACTGTTGGATGTTTTCCTTTACTTCCAGACCCATGGCTGCTAACCATTGAGATATTATTCACTGTTGGATTTTTCCTTTACTTTCAGACCCATGGCTGCTAACCATTGAGATATCATTCACTGTTGGATGTTTTCCTTTACTTTCAGACCCATGGCTGCTAACCATTGAGATATCATTCACTGTTGGATGTTTTTCTTTACTTTCAGACCCATGGCTGCTAACCATTGAGATATTATTCACTGTTGGATGTTTTCCTTAACTTTCAGACCCATGGCTGCTTACCATTGAGATATCATTCACTGTTGGATGTTTTCCTTTACTTTCAGACCCATGGCTGCTAACCATTGAGATATCATTCACTGTTGAATGTTTTCCTTTACTTTCAGACCCATGGCTGCTAACCATTGAGATATTATTCACTGTTGGATGTTTTCCTTTACTTTCAGACCCATGGCTGCTAACCATTGAGATATTATTCACTGTTGGATGTTTTCCTTTACTTTCAGACCCATGGCTGCTAACTATTGAGATATCATTCACTGTTGGATGTTTTCCTTTACTTCCAGACCCATGGCTGCTAACCATTGAGATATTATTCACTGTTGGATGTTTTCCTTTACTTTCAGACCCATGGCTGCTAACCATTGAGATATTATTCACTGTTGGATGTTTTCCTTTACTTTCAGACCCATGGCTGCTAACCATTGAGATATTATTCACTGTTGGATGTTTTCCTTTACTTTCAGACCCATGGCTGCTAACTATTGAGATATCATTCACTGTTGGATGTTTTCCTTTACTTTCAGACCCATGGCTGCTAACCATTGAGATATTATTCACTGTTGGATGTTTTCCTTTACTTTCAGACCCATGGCTGCTAACCATTGAGATATTATTCACTGTTGGATGTTTTCCTTTACTTTCAGACCCATGGCTGCTAACTATTGAGATATCATTCACTGTTGGATGTTTTCCTTTACTTTCAGACCCATGGCTGCTAACCATTGAGATATTATTCACTGTTGGATGTTTTCCTTTACTTTCAGACCCATGGCTGCTAACCATTGAGCTATTATTCACTGTTGGATGTTTTCCTTTACTTTCAGACCAATGGCTGCTAACCATTGAGATATCATTCACTGTTGGATGTTTTCCTTTACTTTCAGACCCATGGCTGCTAACCATTGAGATATTATTCACTGTTGGATGTTTTCCTTTACTTTCAGACCCATGGCTGCTAACCATTGAGATATCATTCACTGTTGGATGTTTTCCTTTACTTTCAGACCCATGGCTGCTAACCATTGAGATATCATTCACTGTTGAATGTTTTCCTTTACTTTCAGACCCATGGCTGCTAACAATTGAGATATTATTCACTGTTGGATGTTTTCCTTTACTTTCAGACCCATGGCTGCTAACCATTGAGATATTATTCACTGTTGGGTGTGCTTGTGCTGTTGTCAGTTTCATCACACTTGTTGCTGGTTCAGTAAGGAGAAAGAGAAAGTTGGGCAAAGCAGGAACTTTTGATCTGGGATTCTCTCTTTGCTGCATTGCTTTTGCAGGTAAGTACAATATACATTTATTTCAAGTAGGTACAATGTTCAGTTATTGTATACAATATACAATCATTGCAGGCTGGAACAATACATGATTATTGCAGGTAGGTAAAATACAGAATACTTGCAGGTATTGTAATCAGGTACAATATCAGCTTTTCTCAGGTAGGTAATATACAATCATTGCAAGTAGGTACAATACATATTGCAGGTAGGTACTTGACCTTTCGCTTATTTTGATAAAAATTTACCTTAATGTTTTACTTCATATTGACAATATTTCCTCCAAATACTTAGTTGCCTAAATTATGATTTCTTGGCCTCAATAATAAACACAATTGCCTCACTGAAAAACACAATTGCTTCACTGAAAAACACAATTGCCTCACTGATAAACATATTTGCCTCACTGAAAAACAATTCCTTCTGAAGAATTCTCCATGTATACAGATGTAAGCAAAATTGTATAGACAATAATGTTACCCTTGTATTGCCACATAATATTTTTCTTTTTCCTTAAAAATTATGAATTTTGTTTCAGTTCTGCTGATGTTCTTCTCCATGGTGTTGTACTTCGCCAAGTTCAAGATTATCTATAATGACGACAATCTCAGCACGGACTTCTTTAGTTACTCATTTGCTCTTGGGATGATTGGATGCTTGTTTTTACTCATCGGTGGCATATTCGTCAAACTCAGCATCGAGGATATCAAGAAACAAAATTTCGACGAAGTGGCTTTAGTGTCATAGAATTATGGATTAGTTACAGGGTGGTCACAAAATTTTCAATTTTTTGTTTGCATGAAAAGCATTATGGATTAATTCATTAGTCAAGATATGGAATGTAAATAAACAAAGACAAAAAGAATATGGCACAAAACAGTGTAAAAATATGTATATATGGGTGAGATGATTTACCCTTATGGCCCATGAAGGCTTTTCTTGTATTGAATGTCAGTCTTCCTTTACTGAAGGACAAAATAGTTTACCACAGCAACATGGATATTAACTTTCCTGTTTAGTGACCATAAACAAGGATATACAGGGTGGTCAAAAAATGTTACAATAATTTTACTCAGTGTACCAACAGAATGAGTAACAGTTTTAGGCCCACTCTATATTTTGTATACCACGAAAATGTGATGACATTTATGTTGATAAAACTCAACTTCTTATCTACTTATCAATCAGCAATGCAACAATTATTATACCTTTTTTTAAAATCTATATTACATTTAATAATTAATTCATGTGAATTTGAGCTTTATTTCCCCTTTAATGGGAAAACATAACATATTGTGTGTACAGTATATGTACCGTATATATATCTTCAACTTCAAAACTCAAAAAATATATAAGTCTTCCATTATGCCTTTGGACCCCCCCCCATCCCCTTCTATCTCCATTCTTGTGTGGATGTTTGAGAGGGAGGTTCACAAGGGCATGGTGAGACTATCAAAACATATGAGCTTATTGTATTGTTCATGATATATTGTGTTTTAAATTATATTTATCAACATGACTTTAAATGCCACCAATATTAGGCATTGAAATACATGTAACTTATAAAAAACAAAACATTTGTAAAAATTTTGAGCCCTGAAAAATATGGAATGCTGGCACAAATTTTGGAACATACCACCATTCATGCCACATCGCCCTCTGTCATTTACTATGGTGAATTCAGAAGTCATCCAGCACTACAGTGTCATCAAGGGATGTATGTGTCATCAGTTAACACTTCTGTGTCATTAGAGAGATTCCGCGACTCACTTATCACACTTATCGATGTATAACGCTGGCAATAAATGATTACGTAATCAAACGTCATAAGTTCATAAGTTATATAGGAATAATAAACATGCTATAAGTGAGTTGCAAAATTGCTCTATTAACAAACTCTTATGTGTTATTGTCACAGGTTCAGTGATTTGTATTTAAAGTATAACTTGTAAAATATAAGGATGTAAGAAATATAAAAGTTGATTTTTGATTACATAATACATTCTGTTACGTTGTTAGCTGTAGGATTATCTGTAGGTGTCAAACACAACTATTGACCAAAGAGGACTCAAAAATACTGTTAGGCCTACTGTACAAATTGGACTAGAATAATTTGGAAACATTAGTTTCTTGTATTTTGTGTAAACCTGGACGAATGTGGTTTGACAATTTGTGCACCCTTTTTAGATACAAAATTTTAAATTTACTTCACCAATTTTTTAATCCTCGCTTCAACCCTGCTAAAATCATGACATAATCGCTACAATCATGACATCATAATCACTACAATCAATGACATCATAACCAAAAGGTTGTATAATTCACTGGAATGGGACTTTCCATGGACAAATGACCAATTAAAAAGATATGCGTGGGTCGAAAAAAGATCAATCAATATGCATACAGTAATCCATCATCAAAACCTTGATAGAATAAAACAATTCTAAAAAATTCACCATCAGCTACAAAACACATTTATATTTTCAAAAGATTAATAAATAATTTATTTCTTCAAATGCATTATTTTCCTTACACATTGATAACAATTTTATATACAGGGTGAGCCAAAATATACTGACTATAAATCACACTTGTAGACAGTTTTATTCATCAGCTGCATTTTTTGGGTCAACCTGTACTGGGGGGTCATTCAATGACCAATACATTGTACATATCCAACAATATACTCACCCTCACCCAAAACAGAATAAAGGAATATTGGAACACAAAAACATTTATCTGCATAAGAAGAATAACATGGGAAACATAAATGCATGCTTGACCTACTTTCAAACTATTCTCTAAAGGCAAAAGCATAAATAAAAGTTATGAATATAATTTTTTGTATTGGTTGACCACACAATATGTTATTCACAAAACTTGAAAATATTATTGCTTTTTACACCATGGTCTCAATCAATGAGATATATCCAATAGGTGTGTAAAATCCAAGGTCATTCCAACTGTATGCATAATAAGGGATACGACCAACAATAGAAACGTTAATCAAAAATGCACAAAATATGATGAAATTTTTACAGAATACAAAATAAGATAGGAGGTCTCGGAAGATTCAAATTTCCAATTTCAGCTCTATTACAAATATTTCTTTTTTAAACTCTAAAAATTGATGAGTGACAATGGTTCCATAAAAAGCATAACACACAATTCCAATAGATGAGAGAACATGAATGAAGTATTGCCTTAAACTGAAGCTTTTCTAAGACCTAAATGTCTCTTGCAATTCTGAGTTCCAAATCAAATGACTAAAATGTCTTATAACATAGATACTCTGTATGTTACAACAGTAATCTATTCTGACCACATAATGTCCACCATTTTATTTGCTCTTCTGCATAACTTTCCTACTCCCTGCATTTTTAAAATGTCCACCATTTTGGTTGCTGCTCTATATAATTGTCTTACTCCCTATATTAGCTATCTAGTTCATTCTCATCGCCACTTATATCATCTAGGTCATCATCTCCCAGGTCTTCGTCATCAGACTCAACCTGAAATACATTTTCATAAATATGTAAAATTACACCTAGATTTTGGGTTTTGAAGAGTTTATCAATTTTTAAAATTCAAATTTCTTTGGAAATGTGACTTCTGGGTCGAGGAGATTCCCCATAGACCTAATGATGTAAGATAACAAAAAGTGAAATATCTTTCCTTGTGTTTGGTGGGTAATATTTTCTTTTACTGGACACATTTTTATTTGTATAACTATCAGATACATAAGGGTAATATGAAAAGTGAAACACTAAAACTGATGATTATTCAAGTTTAAGGGAATTTTGTTATACCCTGCCATGTTATTTCCCTCGAATCAGCCACCTGGTGGCGAATGTGGTAACTACCTTCTCGCATCTGAGTAATTAAAACAGCTTAAAATGCCTAGACAATTCAGTGATGTTGCTCATTTGATTTATAGTAAAAAGAAATCAATAAGAAGATCGGTATATTAGCATCGGTATAATGGTTTGACTTGCAAATATCTACATTTAAATACTATTCCCACAAGGAAAACATTAATGGAATATCATGAAAAAATAAACATCAAAACACAACCTAATCCACAAAGTAACCTTGTCCAAATACATCTATCCCCCAGCTAAAAATATACAATCATTATCACAATCTAAAAACAAGACAGGTGGTTTACTGTAATTGAGCCCTATAACAAAAAATGAATCCCAAATGAAACCAAGTTCACTTTAATTTTAAGGTCAGTGGTATTCTCACAAACAGTTATAATTCATATTTGCATAGTAAAATAATTTAACATTGGTGAACAGCATGCATATGCACACTTTTTTTTGTTCTGGCAACTTTTTTAATTGATTAGTACTATATAGAATGCATTTGTTTCATGCAAGGAATGAGAAAACTACAAGAATGTTCTATAATTTAAATAAACCGACCACTTGATAATGGATAGTTCTTATAAATAGGGGGAAAAAGTATGACTTTTCTCAATTTGTAAATATTAGTAACCTGGGTACCCAAAACACCTGGACAATTAAAACATTAATGAACTAAAAACCAAAATCAAAATTCCACACAACACAATGAATCAAATAAAACAATAAAACTTAAAGTAAATCAAAACTTAAGTAATAAACACTGATACCAAACCACACCCGTAAAATATAATCAAAATTTAAAAGAATTTTATCACCTACATCTAGTTTCTCTTCAATCTTTAAAAAAGAAATAGTACAGTGAATGAAGTGAATAAATGAAAATATTTCATTGGATAAATAAAACAATGAATGTAATCAAAAATTAAAAAGTGTAATCAAAATTCAACAGATTCTTAAAATGTGTAAACATTACTAAACACTATAGGAATACAGATAAGTAGGTGCTAATTTTTACAAATAACACGAATGACAATGAAAAATAACAAAAAAGGAAACATCTAAGTGAGATAAAATAATAAAATATTACCTGTACTCCAAGTTCTTTGAGTTTAGTTTTATATGTATCTAATTTTGTATCCTGGTCAGCTAATAGTACTAATAGGTCATCTTGTTCAGTTTTTAAAGATTTTGTTTCTTCCTCTGCTTCTGATTTTTCTTCTAATATTCTCCTATTTTCTTCCTCTAATTTCTGGAAATGGATACAAGTTCATGTACTTTAAATCTAAATGTATTGATTCTTTTAAGTTTCATAGATCCCACAGTTATTTCAACCCTGAACAAACTGGATGAGTGCCCCCAGAAACTTAAATAACTTAAAACTTTTTTTTATTAGTTGAAAGAAAAACCACAAAAGTGGGATATTTCTGTGAAACATATTTCTGTATCATGAATGTCTTAAGCAACAGCATGCATTAACTGACTCAGCAGTGAATGTCCTATAGTATATTTAATTAATAAAAAGACCTAGACCTGATAAAACCTACCTTTATCTGGTCTTCTAGTTTCAGATTATCTTCATTTGATTTTTTTAATCGTTCTTGTAAAGTGTTTTTCTCATTTGTCACAGTTTTGTTATCCCCCTCTAGCCCTTGAAGACGTGCCTGGAGTTCTGCCACGCGGGAATCATCAACTGTGGTAGCTGTTTGGGGTGGTATTTGCTTCTGAAAAAGCAAGTAACATTCATAAGTCTAAGTAATCTGCAGCTACTTGATAGATTAGACAGATTAGACTGGTTCTGTTACATAAAATAATCTATTGCAATTTGGCAAAGTTTGCCTCTGAGGAACATTAGTAGATATTCAAAGGGTTCCGATAAGCTTCCCGTATATTTGTTAAAATGAAAATCTCCCTTTTATAAATGTGTGATGATCTAAACTGTACCAATGTTATATAAAGGTTAGAGGTGTTGACACAACGACCTCGAGCCTTTGAACCCTTGAGTATTATTCCGGGATCGAGCCTTTTATACTAAATGGTGAGCAACACCAGAAACAAGCGTTCGATTTGCTAAACGATATGCGTCACCCTTTAAAGAGATCGAATTGGATAGTGGAGGAAGAAGTCACATCCTTTTCAATAATTGTATCACCTTTGTCTATCGTATTTTACCCACTACAAATAAATTCTGTTTTTAGAGAGATTTTTAAACAAGGGCCAAGAGAGAAGGGTATTTGATTCTATTGACTATACACAAGAGTATTCTAATGGATTAATAACTGTAATTTACCAATTCTCCTATTTGCCGTTCAGATTCTTCAAATTTATTTTTATATTGCAGAATGTCTTGGTCTTTATTTGCTATGGAAACCTTCATTTCTTCTAACTCTTGCGTCACACGGTTGACTGTTGCTTGCAAAATGGCAGCCTCACCAGGAACTGGTTCTCCATTTTCTTCAGAGCTTACTGCTACTAGAGTTTTGGCTTCTGCTATTGTTAAATCATTTTTCTAAAAATACATATATGAAAATTTTGAACTATTTTAAGATTTATTTTCTAGCTTTGAATGATTACAGTATAAAGAGATAGATAGATTGGAGGTCACCTGTTTTGTACAAAAATACTATTCACCAATTAAAGACATATATTTGAAACTTAAGTTACGTAATTAATAGTTAATAATTTCTATTAGAGGCATACAGCTCAACCTCTTTATATGATTAGTACTTGAATAGCAAGTTCCAACAAATTGGAAAACTATCAGTAAATACTTACTAATTTTTCTATGGCTGTATTTTTCTCTTCTAAATCTTTTTGATGCGCTTCTACTTCCTGTTTCAGTTTCAATAATTCAGCACCATTGTTGTCCTGGCCTTGACCTCTGCCAACCTTGAGCAATGCATTCTGGTCTTTTAGTTGCTGTACCGTCTGCTGGAATTCTTCCAATTGCTTTTCTGCTGCGGAATATTTATTTTTGAGTTCCAGCAATTCTTGACGTATAGACCCTAATTCTTCATCCTGCAAGCAATGATTTATGTTTATGATCTAGCACTATATACTAATATATTGGCTATTTTATTTTTCCTAATAAAATAAAGTGAGCAAAAATGCTTCATATTTTACATTTGATCTCAAATGTTTTTTCTTGATTCTCTACATTTCCATCTCACAAAGAAAACATTTTGAAGTACCACCTAGTCTCTTTTATCTACTGCTTGCAAAAAAATGCAAAGTGGAGGGAGAGATTATCAAAATGATGCATTTATGAAACAGTTGACTTTTGAAATCCCATATTGAATTGCCAAGTTAAGAGGGTTTGGGATTTAAGTGGGCTTTTGAACAATGTGAGAACATGAGTGTTAAGATGGTAAGTCCTATAAATGCAACAAAGAACATACTTTATCAACAACATTTCATACCTGACTTCTAATAACTTCTTTATACTGCATAACAACCTTATCGTGCTCTTCAACATTGGCAGACTGAACTTCACCATTCTCCTGGACTTCTAGTACAGACTTCAATATATCATCTACAAACATTAACATATAAATTGTACAATAAACATGTCATAAATGTACAATCATACATTCGTCTCCATATGGATTAAGTATCTATTCATATCACACACATTTTATTTCTTATTATTATAAAAGCAGAAAAAATAAATTACACGACAAATACAGTCATTAACCTCTTGAATCCCAGGCTCTAAAATTGGTTCAAACCAGAGAATTTTTCATTTTTGCCACCTTTTGACATTTTACTACATACCTTTACAATTTAGATGCTCAAATTAGTAAAATTAGATGGCAGAGATCATTTCTACATGTTTTAAAACAATTTTTGTGTAAATTGGATGAAAATTGTTCAAATAAGAGCAATTTTTGTGAACAATTTTGTGACGGATTTTCTCGTCCCTCTGGGTTTCAAGGTCATTTCTGAAGTGACGAGAAATCTCGTCATTCTCAATGTATGTATGAAGATGCACATATGCACATCCATTACCACAAGACAACGAAAAAAGAAAAAGTTTCGAGATGGCCCAGTAGGCTGTAAACTGGTAATTCATATGTGTAAGGCATTTACTTAGAACATGTATTTCTACTTACTTTCTAAAGATTTAAACAGTCTGGTGAAAGCATGGTCGAATAAGACTTCATTCTGTGATTTGAGATTTAACTGTGGTTTCTTGGCAGCTTTGGAATATCCTTCGTGTTTCGTAACTTGACTTAGTTTATCGTTAAAGTTTTCAATTCCAATACGTTTCTCTATTATTTGTCGTAATGCTTGCCTGGAAAAAAATATGCAAATTATCATTTTGTCACATGGAGTGTGATTGGTTATATACAATCAAATGATTTGTGAAAGAAGTTTGCAATTATCGATACTACCTCAATGAAAACTTGGATATTGGGGCATGTTTTATTCCATTGGAATGTTTCCAAAACATTTACAGAAAATTAAAAATATTAGTTTTTCACTCCCTTGGGAAATTATTCTAGGGTAACACTACATCGGGTCAAACTTACTTGGTATAATTTGGCTCCTGGTCATTATTAAAGTGTACACAGATGCCTAAAAGGAAAGCACAAAGTCCCTGGACTAGCAGTTCATGTTCGTCACCCTCAGAGGCAGAGATCTGGGAGATCAGCTACGGTGCAGTTAAGAATGATAACAGATTGTATTTACCCTGATTCCAACTTATCGAGTCATACTACACTCTGATTGCTAAATTTTTTGATACTGATATAATGTTTAACTATATCAAATGAAGCTTTGGATCTTTTAAAATTGAAAGCAAAATAGTTACTTGAATTGAAGGCCATAAATGTAGTGTCACAATTTCTGACTATGAGTATATCTCTAATTTAAATAATGTAGACAAGAACATACAGGTTGGTGCATGGGGTTGGAGATTTACAAGTCAACTTTTAATAGATATAGAAAAGGGAATACAATTCATACATCATGTACCAAATTGAGAGCTAAATATGGAGATACATATCAAATTGTTAGATAATATATCATGGGAAGCCTATTGTATACAAGTACAGCAGTTGGCTATCATGTTTACAAATAATATCTACAGACACACACAAATGTGATGATTCTTTTTTGTGATGATTCTATTAGAAAGGATACGAAAGGCACATTATTGGCATGGTGTAGTAAATGTGTAACGCCTACTGTAGAATGAGCGACCCAGTTACACAAAAGCATCAGTAACCCCACCCTGGTCTGCAACTTTGCACCCTACAATATAAAAACACACAAATTAAAGACTTAACTAGTTATCATAAGTTCAAAAATAAATAAGATTTTTATGAAAAATAGTTTATTATATTTTTTAACACATTATGATATAGTTTACCGCAAATAAAGACATTTCCTGGTCGAACTCTGTCATTATTTTAGCTTCTTGAGACGTTTATTTGAACACTATTTTATTTTTGAACACCCTTTCACTCTTTTGTATATGAACACTCTTAATGTCTTAAAAGTGCAAACTGGACAAGATTTAGATGATTATAAAAATATTCAATCTTGACCTGTCCAAACCACATTCTAAACCTAGTGTTTATTAACAGTTTGAAGACCATAAGATTTTACCAATTCAAAGTAGTGAAAAGTGTGATGCAAAAAGATAAACTATGATGTACAAATGTTTTGCTAAAACCATCCTAAAAGAAACCCACCACAGAATGGACAAATATACTATCATATTAATCAGATCTAATTGAATCATATCTATGTCAGATCTAAAATCTAACCCTGTATATCCTGGAATATTGGCACAAAGGGTCAACTATGGAGCATTAATAAAACTTTTTACCACCAAATGAAAATCAAGGATAGTGAAACTCGTATAACATAGTTTTTCTTCAAACTTTAATGGTACATTTATTGTTTTTATTGTTTCGAGCAACAAGTTTGAAAGAAAACTTCATGGTATGAGACACACAATCTTTGATTTTCTTACACCTGGTAGTTTCATTACGCCCCATAGTTGACCATGTGTGAACATATTTTCTAACCCTGTGCTGTTTGTATACCTGATCTGCGTCAAAATGATGGGCATTATCCTCCCAAACATTATACTGCCAGTTAGAATAAAATTGGATTCAACTAATATATTAATCAAATCAGTTTGGGAAAAGCAAAATAATTATAAACTAAAATTGCACAATTAACTGAGAAATGCGGGAAACATAAGGTTTAATTATTAAACGCAAAGAACGAATTCCAAAGACTACTGATCTGAAAATATCCTACCTGCGCAAGAATATTAGTGCACTGTTGTAATAGGGAGACTGGTGGGTTACCAAGACTGGTTGCTAACTGGACCCTTAATAGCTGTTCTTTCTGGGTGGTATTGTCCACTATAGAGTGTAGAAGTGCCACTGCTGCAAACCAGGTTGAGAGGGTATCTGTACTGAATAACCCGCCACATAGCAACTGCCCTGCTGATATGGTGTTGGCTAGAAACAAAAATGTAATATGTAAATTTACAGGAATCAAAACTAGAGTACAAAGGTGACGGGCTATAGAAGTAATCCATATTGATACCTGAAATGTGCCATGAGATGTGAGTTTGTGATAAACTCATATCATACAAGTGAAAAAGACATGTTTTCTGCAATACATTAGACAGTATAATGCAGACCTACCACTACCTTCTACTTTATTCAACTGCATATCAAATATTGCATCTACCCTTCGTTGATTATATTTTCTTTATTGTTAAATCTAAAACAATATAACTAATGTACAATATTTAGCTGTTTTATTAAATCCAATCCCTACAAAACATGCAGAAAATGACCACACTGAAAGATTTCCCCCAACCTTTTAATCTCAAAAATGACTTATTTGAAAAGGGAGGAACATGTTTCTGGAAAACACCTGGAACTATAATTTGTGAAACTCAAAAGTCTTCAAAATACAAATATTGTAGTTTATTACAATTGTTCTATCATTTGATACAACTGAATTTCACAAATCTTAAATCAAGCTATTTTTGAGAAATAGACTTGAATCATATTACAGTCTGGCATTACATACAATTTAATCTAAAAAGATGCACATATGCAATTCCAATACCAATAATGTACCTAAATTAAACTACACTTTTCTGAAGTACCCACTAACAATATCCAAAAGTCAACCCATATCAAAATACAAGATAGATTTCAAACAATTTGTATATAAATTCGATCATGCATTTATACAAAAATAACTCCAAGATAAACATGCATAGAATGTGCAGACTTTTTGCCGAAAGTGCATTTTAATGTGCAATTATTTTATGAAGCATAGCCATCAGATTTACTTCAACCTTATTTCATTTTGCATTATTGAATCGTTATCACATCAACTGTTACCAAAAGAATTTTTAGGGACATCTTTAAATTAAATTATATGGAAGTGAAACAGATAACAGGAATAAAGATCATCTTACATTAAACACAAGGACGAAGCACAGACGTACAAATCATTAATTATCTTACTTAATTTTTTTAAATTGGTTCATATTATTTTAATGATATAAATGATTTTGTGAAATATTTTCCTTAATTAACTAACAGTAACACAAAAGGAAATTTGTAAAAAGGGGACTAGAAAACTACAGGTGCATTACATAGTCTTATATCTGAATAGAGAATTTCTTCATCCTGAATCACAGAATCATCCATAATAATTCCTCTCCATTTCTTAAACATATACTTTCAACTCCACACTTTTCCACTCTATTTTCATTGAAAGACACAACCCTTGTCAAATTGTTGTCATGGTTATATTGGCTTGACCTCTAGTTTACTTACCCTGGCATTCTAGAATAAAAAATAAATGCAAAACATGCTTGAATCATTGTCATGGTAACAAAAGTTTTAGGGATTGAGATTGAAAAGATCTGTCAACATTCCACAGGTCATCATTTTGGAAGTTAACAACAACAAAGTGCAAGAATGACATCAAAACATAAAGATCACAAAGTTTACTGGGTTGCGCTATTAAATCTTCGTGCCTTAACTTTTGACTCCATTCCAAAGCCACAATTTGTTTACATTTAAACCTTGGCTGAAAAACATGAATTTTTACGCTTATGGTCGAAAACTTCCTGCAGATTCAACAGATCTCCTCTCTAAAAAATATTTTGACATGAAGCAGAAAATAAAATGTGTCAAAAGCAACTAATGCACATAAGAGGAGGAAATACCCAGAGTTCCTAGATGAAACTATCTTCATGAAAACATGAACCTCTAAATAGGTTCACCTCTGAATTCTGGGAATAGTCTCCCCTCTCAATTTAGTGTTCTATTTTCATTTGTAACTACAGGCACTAATCAGACTCAATAATACGTACAGAATACAAAAGCTTAATTTTCATGGTGACAGCACAGAAATTGTAAACTTAAGTCTTGCTGTGTGTAAATGCTCTTAGTTATTCAGCAATTAGGTTTTGAATTACTTAAAGAGGATATACAATGGGAGCATTTTCTTCATTGGCAAAGGATTCATTTACACAAATATGCATGATTGAAGATGTTTTTTTTAAACTTCGATTACATGGAACGCTTTATGTTTTTAGCACTGTACACTTCAGAACTTATCAATCCACTTTGGCACAACAAACTCTTCCAAGAATAAATGTGGGTCAGAATATGTATCGGTCAGATATTTTGTCACAATCGACAAAGACAGGCAAACCAAACAAATGAAATTGTGTGGAAAAACTAAAAAAAATTGGGTCAAACAAGAATATAAAATCATAACCTTGTATCACAAGCAAATGGGGGCAGAAGCGTAACACTAACAAAAAAATTATATCACATGTACAAAACTAAATGGGAAACAGGATGAATCCTTGAAAACAGGTGAAATATACGAACTTACCATCAGCAGATGTCGGCAGAAGGGTCTGAACTATCTGGGACTGTCCCAGTTCATTCTTGTATAGGAAAGACTGGAAGCAGTAAAGTACTGCACATCTACAAGGAAAATCAAATGTCAGATTAAATCATTAAATTTGGTCAAAAATCTGAGCCAGTTAATTTTTAGGGCATTGAACATAATCTACTAGGGATGTCATGGTTTCCCGATATTGTCCCATCCCTCGGGACTTTGGTCTCGGGACAGGATGGGACAACCCTTGTGTACCGAAGATTTCGGTCCATGTTCAGGATATACTATTTCTCCTGTAAATGACCCTAAAACTTCCCAAATGCACGATAAATATGATCTAAACTAGAATTTTCTTCCGTTTTTACAACTTATCTGCTGGATTACGTTCATGCATAAATGCTATCTAGTGGTAATTACTATAAATGATTATAATAAATGAAAATACATGAAGTTTTATCGATAGAAGTGTTTATATTTCAAATATGCTTTAATTTAAACAATAACAAAGAACTTCATCGGCAAAAAAAGGTAACAACTTTAAATTTATCTCAGATTACAAGTTCTTGCGCAATATAGGCAGCCCTTTTATGACGTTCAAAAGATTCGCGCTGCATAAGTATAACTGGAAGCAGATGGAAAATGTAAGTTGTTGAAATGTTTAAAACTTATTGACTATTTTATTGGTTATGTCCCATCCAATCTTGAATGTCCCATCCCGAAATGGATAATTTCCGTCCCGTCCCTAAATATTTTTGTCCCGTGACATCCCTATAATCTACACAACAATTGGTTCATAAATTAATTCGTGATTATGATTAATATTGTAATTAATGATGTACTCTATGTGAATTCAAGACAGGTTACTAGGATACATACCTCGGGGAAAGGTTGTTTAGAAAGGTTGTTTAACATACCTAAGGGGAAAAGGTTGTTTCTCATTCACCATTGACATAAGGAGCACCACAATGGCTGGTCTTGGTGGGTTGCTAGGAGCCATGACTGAGGCAAAATACTCCTGGTTGCCAGGGTTACCACGAATCACTTCAGACACTGTGTTGATTGTCTAGAAATCAATAGTAAGTTTATATAGTGACTTAAGTTCACAACAGAAAATAAGATTTAGTGACTTCTGAAATCCATTTATTCTCAATTCAAATAATCTATAACTTTTTCAAACCAAAGAGTGTCAGTGTTTATGTTAATCATGACATGTTTTGGCATCTTTGATTGATATATCCATCGTAGCATTTGCAACCTGAATAAGGTCATAATTTGAACCATATCCCAGCATACTGTTAATTTGCTTGCGATATCATATATGGCAGAATCAGTGTACTATGACCTTGATTATAACTTTCAAATTCACAAGTTAGTGTACAAGGGCATATATCATTGTAGATAGGAAGGATGATTTACCTCTGTAAGGACATCTGCAGGTACCCCAGTAGCCATAAGTATGGAACATAACTCCTGTAGCAGACCTGTAAAATACAATACACAATGTTTGACACATGCAAAACCTGTGTTATGAGCCTTGGAACCATAAGAAAATGTTGTTTATGGGCCACATGTCTTTTTAAAAACTTGCTCCTTGTGAAGTATTAATTAACTACTAAGGACAATTACAAGAGAATGTCACCAACTGGCATTTGTGCCGACTGCCAAATGCTGTTAAAGATGTAAAATGCCAAACACCAACTGCCGAACACAGGCCACAAAAATATTGGAGACTATTACAATAGGTCACCCCATGTGGTAGCGAGATAAAAACACGAAACTAACAATAGGATTGCATAAAGACCAGATGACCATCCAAAAATTAATAAAACCAAATAGCACTCACCACATTGGTACATGGACTTCTGGCATGACTGGGTTTGTTGTGCAGGGCTGCTGGGTGAAACCAAAGTACGAACAGCCTGGAATATACAAAATATTTAGAATGTGAATTATATGTTTGTGAAATATCTGAATATAGTTTCAAATCATTGAACATAGTTGTATTATATAAATTCAATAACTATTATAAATGTAATGACTGTGTTCAGAAAACAAAACAATGTTATCTATTGTCATGGAGATGGCATCCATGATGTCATAATGAACCATTTGTATGTAGTAGTCATTTTACCTGGTTACAATAAAACACTGGTATATCAGGATTATGACATCATAATAAGATTTACTAGAATTTAAAATATTAGGGTTGCTAGGTGCTATGTTTACGCCAACAAAAATGTTAAAATGTGACATCACAATTAAATTCATAAAAACAATTGAATATCACTCAGCAACTAAGAATAATCATTTCTATGGAAAATATAAACAAAACACCATTGCCTTGCTAGCTTTTGATCTGCAAAGACACACAAGCGTTTCAGGATGACAAAAACAATGAATTTGTTTCTACTGCTGAACATCTGTATTGCACTGGCTGCTAACCGGAGTGCAACCTATTTGAAAAGCGATGACTTAAGGTAACTAACACAATTTTAACAATTTGAAATATGAATACTGCCAGACAAAAGAACATTCACTCGCATATAATATTTTGTGAAAATATAAACAATGCAAAAACAAAAAACAAAAAAGTTGAATATACTCTCAAAAGTCATTTTCTATTTGTAATTGATTTATTGTTTGTTTCAGATTAAGACCATCTTTAGTAGCAGTCTATGATCGCCTTCAGAGTGTTGATATGAGCCAATACAATGACAGTTTATATGAAAGGTATAAATGAAAAACAGTATTATTGGATACTAAACCAAACAATTACTAGATTAGTAATAAACATTTACTAAAAATATACAATTCCTCAGGTGTTTAACTTTGTTTTTAATTAGAACCTGAGCATTCATACACAAAACAATATGCCACAACTTCTGGTGGCGATATAAAATGTGCTAGCTGCCTATTTTTAGATCCTCTATTAAATTCTAATGAAAAACATGTTCTTAACAAAGTGTGAAATAAAAAGCTTTACATTTCCTTTTCTGATTTCTGTTTTAGTATGGGGAGCATGTATGACACAATTGCATCAACAGTAAAAGATATCCAAGAAGCTGCAATGGAAACAATTGATGACATCACTGAGGCCACAACTAATCTTGGAGAAGGAGTGGTTGAATGGGCCAACCAGAAAATTCATGGCATAACCAAAGGAATGGGAATTCTGACAGATGTCATCGATGAATGGTACAATGAGACAACATACAGCATCTCCATGACAACAATAGTTTATATAAATGATACACTCAAACGGATGAATGAACTGATGAATGTTGTGGCGCAGTGCAAATTTGGAACATGGTTTATAAAAAATGGTAAGTCAACTTCACAAAAAATATTTTAAAAAGATCTGAGATTAACTTTTCAATACAGAAATTAACTGTAAATTGCAACAAGACCTCAAAACACTACAAAATGACCAATAAACATAGCAGGTTGAGTCCTGTGATTCAATAAAAAATGTGTTTTTCTTTTTTCAGATCCATTCAAAGGCAGAGATCTGTATGAGAGATGCACGATCCACATCATTGGCATCCTATGTATTATTGCATTCTCCATCAAAGTATTCCTTGTGGAAACAGAGAGACTTAGTAAGAATCATTCTTTATGTTAGTACTAAAAATTGAAATTGAATCGCAAGAAAAAGTAGCAGCGCAACTGGTATTAAGACCCCTGCAAACCCTCAAGTTTTTCACATGATGACAAGGGAGAAGAGCTTAAAGTTATTTATTACATAAAACACGTTGAAAGTGTTGAGAAAAATAAAAATGTTTTCTCCGTCATTAAAGAAAAGTTTCATGCTTTGTTCAGATGAGTGAAACTTGAAACATAGAAAAATCCTAAACAAATTGACTTATAAATGAGCACTTTCTCTACAAGTCTTATTGCATGTGTTTCAAACTGAAGTAAAAAATGATGAATGAAAGACAATGTTTTATGTTTATTTCATATTTCATATGATGGCTTCTAATCATTATATTTTTCTATTTCAGGATACACCCATCCAAAGCCAGATGACTACCAAGCCTACTGTAGACACCTTGAGACCCTCTTATGTGAAGATGACAACACCAAATCTGAAAACTCCAAACCAACCCGCACTAGCATGCCCAAATATGGATGGAACAAACACCAAAGACGTGGAATGATGAATGTTACAAACAAACAGATCAAGAAGACTGTAATTCAACGTCAACAAAAAGAGAGGGAAATAAAGAAGAGAACAAAGACACAATCTATCGCCAGAGTTTGGTGTTGTATATATGGACTATAAATCATGACTTCTTATTGCTACTGTTTAATTTATTATTCATAGTTATAAAATATATATTAATTTCACATGTAAAATATGTTTGTTTATGAAATTGGGCTATAAAGAAATCCCTATGTCTTCACAAAGGGAAGATTGGAGACTGGACACGAGAATCCCATTAGCGACCATTAAAAAGTTTTACCCTTTATCTCATTAATGGACAGTATCCACACTAAGTGCAACATACCACTGTGATTGGGAGAGATTTATCTAGCTTGCTTTTACAATATTAACATGGGTTAATATGTTAATAATGTTCACCAAACATCAAAATTTTGAGAAAAATAAGCTTGAAGACAACCAGTACCTTCAATCTACCTGATATGGAAAACAAGATCAGTATCTGTCCAATAAAATTGATCCCAATTTCATCTACCAAAGGCAAATTGGCCCTACCCAGGACTCCTCCAGTGCAGTTAAAGGGAAACTTTAATTTTATGCACAGAAAATGCATCACTAACGGTAATCGCTAGTACCCCTACTCAGGACCATATTCAAAATCAGAACATACATAGACATTTTCCTGAACAAAGCAGAAACAGAATTCATAATCATTTATCCGAGTTATGACATCATAATGGCACAAAGACACACAAAGCAGTTGCTATGCATTCTACATTAGCAACAAAAATATATATCAAAATATCAGATTATGACATCACAAGAGTAACAATTAATTTCTTCAGGTTGCTAGGTACCAATGTTTTTAACAACCAAGTACCTTAGTATGACATCATAATAGCTCTCAAAGCAGTAGCTATGCTGTCCTCAATAGCAACCAAAAATAATGAACAAATATTTCACTCTATTGAGGTGAATACCTGTACATCTTTCACAAGTGATATTCCACGAAGCCCGAAGGGCAAGTGGAATATCACCTTGTGAAAGTGCTACAGGTATTCACCGAAAATAGAGTGAAATATTTGTTTTATTATATCACTGTCTAGCTAAACATCCCTAATATTATTAAGTCATAGGTTAACATTGAAATACATTGAATCTACTCGGTTCGTCTGCCATTTTGACTTACACCGAACTAAATTATTTACACTGAACGAAAACAAATTCTTTGAAAATTCCCGGGAGCGTGGGATATCGCTAGATATCTCACGGTTGTCTTATCTGATTAGCATTGCCATTGAATATTGCCAGATATCCCACGACATGTGACCCAGTTTTGACCAATCATACTGTCGCTAGCTAGATAGTGATATAATAATACATAATATCATATTATGACATCACAGGAGTGACAATGAAATGTCTTCATGCATGATGTTTTGGGTTGCTAAGCACCAATGTTTATAACAACCACAATCCCCAGTGTGATGTCACAATTAACCAACATAATCATAAAAGAATCACTAAGGATACCTAAGATACTATTGCAATAAAACATAAACAAACTATCATTTCCTTGTTAGCTTTTGATCTACAAAGACATTAAAGCGTTATAGGATGACGAAAATGATGAATTTGTTTCTATTGCTGAACATTTGCGTTGTGTTGATAGCCAACAGGAGTGACACCTATCTCAAATCTGACGACAGGTAACTATCTAGATAAAAAATCTAATCACACTAATCATTTCTGAAATGTAAATCACAATTAAAATTCGAAATATTTAGAAAAATTCACAAAAAGTCATCTTTGCTATTTAATCTAATTTTCAATTGTTAATCATTTATTTCAGATTAGGATCAGCTTTTGTAGCAGTTTATGATCGCATTAACTGTGTGGACACGATACAATACAATGACAGTGCATTCGAAAGGTATAAATAAATAATATTATTATAAATACTTAGGGCTGCCATCGAACTCAAATGTCAGTGTCGACAGTCGAACTCTGCTGTCGAAAATATTGTCGACAATCGAACTTTCCAGGGAGAAAAAATCATCGGGAAAAAAAGAAAAATTATTTCTGTGTTGTTGGTTCGTTTTTTCCAAATCTATCGGGGAAAAGCTTCATATAACTTATATTCATATTGGTATGTAATTGCCTAATATTGTTACTAAATGCCAAGTTAATAGAATATTATAGACGAAAATGGGACAAATACCTGCAATGTTTCGACCGGGATTTATTTCGACTGCTCGGGCGAAATCTCGTACAACGTCTCGCAAGAGAGAAGAGAAGTCATGAAGGGAACTTCCGGGTGAATTTATTTTTTGAAAATGAAATGAATGTGAACAATATTTCCGCAGAATACGCGCACATAACACGTTGAAATGTGTATTGAAATGTATTGGGGCCATTTGGATATTTTCAAGTAAGTATTGATATCGTTTGCTGTCGACATGACGGGAATTTTTGTCGACTTCGTTGTCGAACTTGCATTTTGACTGACAAGTCGACGTTCCGACTAATGATGGCAGCCCTATAAATACTAAATTAAACTTTATGGTAAAAGTATCCAATTCCTCAGGTGTCTTCCTGGGGTTGTTAATTACAACCTTTAAGCAAAGAGAATGCATGTTCATGTTACAATGCATGCCTATTCTTGGATCCTCTAATAATTTCTAATGAATAAAATGGGTTTGCTACAGAAAAAGTGTAAAATGAAACGCTTAACCTTTCCATTGATAGCTAAGCAGGTTATCGATTTTTTCAGTATGGCAAGTGCATTTGGAATGATTGCATCTACAACATATATCCGAGAGGTTGCTATGGAAATATTTAATGACACAACAGAAGCCATGGTTATACTTGGAGAAGATGTGCGTGAATAGGCCAGACACACTGCACATGATTTCAGTAGAGGCACAAAAGATCTGATGAGTTTACTTGTTGAATGGTACAATGAGACAATTGATAACATCAAAATAACCAGAGTTTATATGAATGATACACAATGGATAGGGGTGAGACGAGTCGAAAAAAATCCGATTCGAGTCGAATCCGATTCGAGTCAGAAAATGACGATTCGAGTTTCGAATCCGTTTCGAGTCGCGCGAAGTGCGAACAACATCGCTTTTGACCGTTCGTATTTTTAATGCGTCAATGGTGGAAAGCCGGAAATATAAACAAACACAATTCGTCGTAAGTTTATTCTGATTTTATTACATATATTCTTTCATTTATGTGTACATACAATATAATAATTTAATACAAGCATATCCAAGTCATTGAATACGCAATATCGAGTAAAAACATGCATATTGACAGTATTTTTCTGAATTTTTTTATTTTTTCGAATTTTTTTCTCAACTCGAAAATGATTCGATTCATCAACTTCGACTCGATTTGACTCGACTCGAAGCCCCAAACCCGCGAGTCCTCGACTCATCGGGTTGTCGCCTCACCCCTAACAATGGATGAAGCAACTGACAGAAGAAGTGCAACAGTCCAAATTTGGTACCTGGGTTATGAAAAACGGTGAGACAATTGTACAAGAAAATTATTTAGAAGTGATATTAGAAACATTTAAATACAGAAATAATCTGTTGTTTGATTACACAAGAAACCAGAATTCAAAACTCAAGCTAAATTACCAATAATGAACCAATAATGTACCAATAATTGTTGGCCTGTGATTAAATATGAAAATGTCTGTTTTTCAGATCCATTCAAAAGCAGAGATCTGTATGAGAGATGGTCGATTCACATCATTGGCATCCTATGTATTATTGCATTCTCCGTCAAAGTATTCCTTGTGGAAACAGAGAGGCTTAGTAAGAAACATTTTTTATGTGATGGTAGTAATAAAAAGTGAAATCTAAGAAAACCAGAATGATTAAACTAAAAATGTGTACTTCCCAATGCATGTCTTAAAAAACAAGTAAAAAATACAAAAATGATGAATGACAGTCAATGTTTCATGCATGCTCAGAAAATAATATTCATTTTCTCATCATTATATTTTTCTATTTCAGGATACACCCCTCCAAAGCCAGATGACTACCAAGCCTACTGTAGACACCTCGAGACCCTCTTATCTGAAGATGACACTAACTCCACAATCTCCAAACCACCCCGCACCATCATGCCCAAATATGGATGGAATAAACATCAGAGACGTGGAATGATTAATGTTACAAACAAACAGATCAAGAAGATTGTAATTCAACGTCAACAGGAAAAACTGATAATTAGGAAGAAAGCAAAGATCCAATTTCTCACCAGGATTTTGTGTTGTATAATATATGGACTCTGAATTGTACTAATATTATATTATATTCTTACTGTATGCATGTTAATCAAAGCTCAATAAATAATTGTTACTACATGTAAATGCCATCTATTTTGAGAAGTTGCATGAAAGCAGCTGTTGATGTTAAATCTACTACATTTATGACGTCATCAGTTGGTCAATGCCTAATGTATTTGAAGCTAAGCAAATAAAGTCTTTTAAACTTCTAAATATACATACTCTGTTGAGATATTATCACAATCTCGTAAAAATAATTATTAAAGCTTGCAATCTACCAATCAGTGGTGCGAAATCCCCTCTTCCTTTGCATAGAACTCATGCATACGATTAAATATACAAAAAGTGTCTATTATTTACATGTACTATCTAAACGCACCCGATTAGATGAGTCTACCTCCCCGATTAGTAAAATAACGACAATCTGAAAACACATGGTCAATCCTAAGTCATATCATAAAATATTGTGTTTCTGCCATTCCTAAACAACTAAATGGATTAACTTGTATCCCCATTAAATCTAATCAGGCCATGAATTGAACCAAGCTGAGGTAAAAAAAAATGTTTGTATTGTTTCCAGATCGTAAAAATAATTTCGAAGAGAAAATACCAGACAATTCTCATACTGTTACCTTCAATTGCTTTCAAAGGTTTATGAAACCATTTCAAGCTCCCCTCTGTCAATATATATCAGGGCAAAAATGAAGCACAGAATCAAAAAAATTCAACTTCCCTATAACATCAGTTTTGAGGAAGGGTTCAATACAAATGGCAATGCAGACAATATTTCCTGAGGGATGATATTTCAAGGTGATCAATATTTCATGGGGGACAATATTTCCTAGGGGGATAATATTTCCTGGGGGACAATATTTCCTTGGTGACAGTATTTCCAGTAACCAACATTCCCTGCGGAGCAATTTTCTCCTTTTCATAGGGTTAAAACCCTTTCCACCTACCTGTAACATCAGGTGTATGTTGGTGACTTTCTGTGCAGACCACCCTCCTTGTGGGTTTTGATCTGCTGGCTGGAGGGTGAAAAATGGAGTCAATCTCTGTACAAATCCACCCTCCTTGAAGAAAATCTGGTTTGAAGAATTGTTCTTTAACAGGTTGATAATTAACAGCAAGCAGTCTTCAACAACAATACCTGAAATGGAAATATTAAACAGTAACCTGTGAAGTAAGGCAACATTTTTCAGTCTGTAATTTTGTTTACAGGGTGCAGGGGGGGGGGGGGGGGTTAAAAGCCAGGTATAGCTATAGAAAAACACTGAGTCAGCAAAAAGTAGCATCAATATTTTTTTATATGGTTTTACAAACATGAGAGAAATGGCTTTTTCAAGTAAATAGCAATAGAGTAAAAATGAACCTAGCCTGCCTAGGACCAACACTACATTTAAGATTTATGTTAAAAAATGCAATTCTTAAATCAAGCTTTAAAAAATTTAATTTTGAACTTATCAAAAATTCTCCCCATTCTCTTCTGTATTAAATCAGCGCCAGTAAGAGTTAGTTAGAAAGAGGACAATCATGCTTGAAGGACCAGAACTTACCTCCATCACTATTTCCCTCTTCTCTGATGATATCCAGGGATCTCTCAAAAGCACTCTCAAATGCAACGATCTTCTGAATGTTAGCATTGTTCTTTGTCAACTGGATCAGAAGCAACAGGCCCTGTTAAGTAAAAGACATTATAATACAATTTTGCAATTGAATAAATGTACTTTATTTTCAAGCAATTTGTATACTCAGTGCATTTAAAATGCATAACTGCACCTTGCATGGGCTGGAATCAAGAACGAGTACGCACGGCGTATGAGATGGTTGCAAATACACTCCAAATGTAACCAAATTTCAAAATTTTCTGAGAAGCCTCAGACCATGCTCGTTTTTCGCTTCACTCAACTTGTGTTCTCTGTGGTGTAACTCATAAAAATAGTGCTATGCCTATGCCTTGTTGTAAAGAGATCTGCTCCGAGTTGAGCATTATTAGCAAAATCATAACATTATGGCCAATTAAAAAAATCAGAATACCAAGAAAAGGGTTCAAAACTCACTAATGCCTGACAGCTAATGGCAATCATTTTTCCTTCTTGGGAACTTACTTGGAAAAACAACTTGACTATTCGGCAATGAACTGAACTCAATAAGTTAAATTTTGAGATCATGTATAGGATCTATAGTAATCAAGAGACCACAAACATAAACTGTATTTCAATAAATATACTTACATCATTGCGAATGATTTCCCGACTATCTGAGAGTAAATCCATCAGTTTGGAGACTCCCATCGGACTCACCAAGATGCATTCCTGCATCTCTCTGCTCTTATTGGTCAATAAAACTGTAAGCAGCTTAACAGTTGGCCATCGAACGTGGAAGTCATATTCCTAAAATATAAATAAAAAAATATAAATTTATACTATGTGCTCAATCTCATAAACATGCATTGCTGCTGATGCAACAAAGATAATCTACTCAATTTCGAAATTATTCAGTTATTTGACCCATTTTAAAAATTGTATTAGAGAGTTAAGGTAGGCAGAGTACAGTAAATAATCCAGCTTGAACCTTTTTACGTGAACGGCATATATTGCACAGGTACGCCATTAATTGATTACATTTACAAATAACAAGCTAAAACAGCAAATAAACTTACTTAAACTTTAAGCTCACAATAATGTGCTACTGTGCTAGGTTGCATTTTAATTAGTTGAGAGCCTTTATTTATTTATCATCATGTAAAAATGATTTCAAAAATTGCCCTATTTGGTTTACCTTAATGATCATTAACTAACAGTTGTTGAGTTATGTGAAGTAGACATATTTCATATTAGTTTAGAAATGGATCTCCAAGTTCTAACCAATGCCATTTTACTGTGCAAACTTTTACATCACACCTTAATTCAAACTATGTGCTATGCCATGCAGATAACTACTATGTAGTGGCAAAGCTCAATATTAGAGAAAAGATGCCTATCATCTACAGGCCTCCTAGACTTCCTCTAATGTGATCATCGGTTCCGACCTCATGAACTATGTTCCTTCCACCCGAACCACGGTTCTCACAACGGGTATATTGATTCTCTAGCCACGAAACCACCAATTCCTCTTTCCCAAATATATTTTTCCACTTTGCAAATGGAGTTCCAACATCGCGAACCACAAAGCTGTATGGTTCCCGATGTGGGAATTCAGTGCGCGAGTATGAGTGGAGAAATATGTTCGGGAGAGAGGAACTTCTGGTTTGCGACTAAAGAATCGAAATTCACGTTGTGAGAACTGTGGTTCTGGTGGAAGGAACATAGCTCGCGAGGTCGGAACTGATGATTGCGCTTTTGGAAGTCTTGGAGACCTGATCTACAGCAGTAAGATTATAAGAAATCATTTTTAAAATTGTCTCAGATTTCTTATATCAATTAATCACTAATCATAGCTAAAGAATTATTATCAATTTCAAGCATTTTTCTTCATATTCATTAAGCCTAAACAAGCAGTCATAGAACAGCATTAACACATTTTATAGATATATAAGTTTCCCAGGGCCCATAAACATGCTTTTGTTACCGTCTGAACATTGTGTTGAAAATGGAAAAGAGATGTAAAATATATAAATCACAGCTCAAAAAGACTCAACTACCCCTTTTCATATATTTTTATTCTTTAGATATCACTCAAATATTCACATATTTAAATTACATTTAGATTAATTCAATGTACAACTGACAATTCACCTTTAAGTGACAACAAACAACTCTCAAAGGCGACTTTAAAGACATCCTAAATCCCAAGTGGTTGTCAAGAGGATGCAATAAAACATGGCATCAAAAAGTCATCATTTTAATCATTATCATTCTGAGGTGTTCAAGTACAGAAATTTGAACTACAAGTACATGAGTCTCTACCATGATGCAAAATTTCAGATCTTGGGTCACGTGACCCGATCTCAACCAATCAGTGAATTTACTCACCTCTAGCAAAGAGAGAAGCAGGGAGACATTTTCAGGGTCTTTGATGAACATCTCTGTGAACTGGCTCCCTATATCTTCGGGGAGGTTAAGCTGCATTTCATCTTCTGCAATAATATAACAGAGAGTTTTCAATGGAGTGGGGGTCTATTCAGGTCAGGTATATCTTATTTTAAGGCCCTTTTATACGTTATGATTCTGAGGCTCTTTATTACCTTATATAGATACTAAACTTAAACTAGTTAATTCTGTGATACTTTTGCAAAGCAAGATACTTGGATTTACAATGAGAAGAAATTGATAGGGGCACAATTACCCAGCCAGCAGATGGTAATTTCAACATGCCAAATTAAGTAGGTGCTTTTTCTTTTAAAAATTCAGGTCAATCACAATAATTTGTGTATCATCCACCTTCCCCTCAAATCCCAAGTTCAACCTTCCCCCATCAAACTTTCATTTTATCATTCTGGTCACTTACCATCCTCAGAGGGTTCATTAGACATTATGTTGGCCAGGGTATCGAGGGCGTATCCAGTAATCTCTGTGTCATTGCGGTCAAGTTGTAACACATTGATCAGAATCGCCATTCCTTGCGTGCCCACCTCCAGTCGGAATTTCTACAAATAAAAAAGTTTACCATCAATTTTTAATTATTGCCTCATTCGACTCAAGAACCCCAAAAATAACTTAATTAGGCTTTATCTATTTTCATCCACTTTGTTCATTTACTAAATGCCACTCCTCCATATTACTCAAACTGCAAAGCAAAATGTGAAACCATGGGCTTTCAAACAACTTGAAAGCCCATTGTGAAACCTTTTTCAAAAATTGATAATGTTAATGTTGAATGTCCCAAACATGCCCAAAATTAACCAGATCTAGATTTTCATCTTATGTAACGATTCTCTGCAAATTTCAAATGAATGCTTCAAGCAGTTTGTATGAAATTACACAGCCTAAAAGTGAGATGCGAATCTGCCCACTTACTGACAACAATATTGTACCATAAGATGTACGATAACCATCACTGTGACTTGTTCAATTGCTCAATAATGGTATATTTTTGGTGATGATTTTATGAACGTTGAAATGTATCCACTAGTCATGACACTTCTCTTGTAGCCTTATCGCATCCTACGACCCCTTTAGATTGTGGTCGTACGCGCCAATTATTGGTCAGTCAATGTTTTTACAAAGTTGGAGAAAATACTACGCATTGCACACCTAAATGACCTACCTCGATACAATTAATTCCTTAGTATTTTAGAATTCCTTTTATGTAGTTGAATCGCCAATTGTATGGGTTTATCGGCAGATCGAAGAGATTTTAGTTTTAACATCGGAAATATATCAGCAATTTTCAAAATGTCGGAAGGGGAATCCCCCAGGGATTTCCCTTATGACTGGTGCATGCCGGGAACCGAATGGAGGAATTTGACTGTTGAAATAAGTTAAATATTACTACTTTTTTCAAGGCCTGACTTCGTCGCTAACATGCTAAATATAAGAGTTAGCTGACGTTTGGGAGTCTGACTTACCTTGTAAAGGTTAGAACCCGAATCTTAATGAAACCATATCACCTTTGTTCCGTCAACCATGGAGCATTTGCCACAACATCCAAGAGGTAAATCATGGACCGAGAAAATGAATGATTTTCTTGTAAGTTCCGGAAGTTTCAATACGAAAAATTACCGAACATATATGAAAACCGAATATTTGTTCGTTGTTTTCACGATTTACAGGTTCGTATGTTCTTCAATGTTTTGGTCTAAATTATAAAGCATCACCAACAGGTCTTACTCTATTAATCGACTAATACAGCAGACGGCTCATATTTCTACGTAGCATTTCGTTCAGACAAATAGTGGGACTGTAGATCACGCAGTTTCGTTCGTTGCGTACTTCACTTGAAATTGGTAATTTTATATTGGCTACTTCACTTAGCTTGGCGGATGTAGAACATTGCTTAATATTCTTTTAATTTTCACACCAGACATGCTTGGTTGACACGTCAACAAAGTAAAGTTCAAGGGTCAATGCGTTATTTCGTGATAACTACAACGCCTTCCCGAAAGTCAACATTGATGAAAAATGAAAAAGTCGGAAAAGCATTTACACTAATTTCTATCAAATGCTATGTTTATGCATCATCATCGACGCAACAAAGGTGATATGGTTTCATTAAGATTCGGGTTCTAACCTTTAGAAGGTAAGTCAGACTCCCAAACGTCAGCTAACTCTTATATTTAGCATGTTAGCGACGAAGTCAGGCCTTGAAAAAAGTAGTACACGCAAATATTGCTATCAAAAACGAAAATTTCTTTGTTCTGCCGATAAACCCACACAATTGTGGATTCAACTACACGGAAAGAATGCTAAAATACCAAGGAATCTATTGAAATAGGTATCTTAAGTGTAAGAAGCGTAGAAAATTCTCCCATGTTGTTATCGTACAGGCAAAAGAATAAGACGTTTGCAAGACTAGAATGTAGAGATAGTCTTGGAATGAGATAATTGTAGCCTACTTACTCTTGAGAGTGATTTGAGCGCCCGCACAGCATCTCGCCTGTCATCTAGAAGCGTTGACGATGTGACACGATTACACAATCTCTCAACCTGCAAAGTGAATGATATTGAGATCAGACTGATAATATAACATTATTGGAAATGATGATGGGAAAACAATATACGTAAAGGCTAGAGTACCAACAATTGTCGGTACTCTAGACTCTGATGTGGTGGCACGCTAGAGGACCGACAAATAAATTGTCGGTACGGGAGATATGCTGTGTTTACGCGCTAGAGGACCGACAAATATTGATTTTCGAATTTTCTGGCGCATGCGCAATGCGCGGGGGGATATTTCAGATATCATACGGATATTTTGGGAACAAGTGCAAAACCCAGCGGGCATTAGCCCCGGTTACCCGGGGATTACCAAACCCAGTCAAAAAATGGTAGCCCGGGAACAGGGAATGGTAGTAAACGTTGAAAACCCAATAAAAAAGAAGGGGCGTTTGCTACCCATTAGATAGAAGAAAATAGCTAGAATGTTTTTTTAGAGCTTATCGTATGGTATGAGGTTCCATATCCATCCGCCAAAAGGTATATAGTCCATTTAAAAACCTGTGGTATCGTTCTAAATAACCCATAGTTGGCTTCTAGGGTACCTAGTATGCCACTATTTGGTATCAAAATAAAGAGGAGTTCAACTTTCATTTGAATTACGAAAATAGCGATGTAGGTCAAAATAGTTCCGAACGTGAGGATGTTTACTACGCGTTTGCCTGTCATATCAGAATTGAGGAAGTGGTAGCAAACGCGAGTTACAATAAACGGACGTTGATATCTCAAAAAGTAACCTGACTCCCTATAATTTGATGTAGGTCAATCGAACCCCTATATGGACAGGTGCATTTTGATATATAACACTATGGGGGGGGGGGGTAAGCGTTTCATAGTTGGTCACGAACGCCATATGTGCAAAGTATTGTTATGAATTTTCGAATTTGGTGTTGGATTACGGTACTCATACCTTATAGCACAATTTTTGATGGAAGTTGCATTTGGCTCCCTTAGTTAATGGCCACGATTCCATCTCGCATGAGAGAGCTACCAAACGCAAAGTAAACAGTGATATATTCCAAATGAGATATTTCTCCTGTGCCATGGCGTAGTAAGGGTAGAGGTCGACGGGGGCGAAAGCATCCCCTCCTAATTGTATATATCGACCCATTAGATAGAACAAGAAAAGAGCTTTGAAATGTTTTTTAATTGAAGCTTGTAGGACAATTTTGATGGAAGTTGAATCAGTTTTTGTCGAAATAAATTATGGCTCACTACAAGTTAATGCCTGTACGATTCCATACTGCAAAAGAAGCACTATCCCCCCCCTCAAAAAAAAGTAGGTCTTGCCGGGATTCGAACTCGTGACCGAGTATGTTCGAATCGTGCTCGCTAACCACTAGACTACCAGTGATGCGGTTATTTGTGAAACTAAAAGTAGTGAATTCATTTATATAATTGTCGGCTCTCTAGCAAAAACACGTAGCAGCCACTTGCGTACCGACAATTGTCGGTTCTCTATCTGACACTACTAGGTGACGATAGAGTGCCGACAATTGTCGGTACCCCAGCAAATACCCCTGGACAGTCTCCAGTACCGACAATTGTCGGTCCTGGAGCCACTCCGAACAATATAATGGCTTGGAAGAACAGCAACTTGAGGAAAAGACAGAAAAATCAGCTTCTGATTTGTGCACCTGAACAAGTGCATGAACGAATTTATCCCTCCAAATTGGAAATATATATACTCGGTATAGTAAAGAACATATACACACCGTATCCGCTCCACTGGGACGTTGCCCCTGGTCGGGAGTCGACAAATACTTCCGCAAATAATCCATCTGAATTTTTTTTTCTTCCAAGATGGCACGCATGCGCGAGACGTGGCAAACATTGATGACTTCCGGTACCAGGGTATTATCGCCCACCAAGATCTTTGGAAACTTAGTTTCAACTTTATTTGTTTATAACTCTGTAAGTATCATGCTTATGTTGATTAATTAAATTCATTCATAATTGACTATACAAAGGGTATTGTTTAAACAGTAAAAAACGGTTTACTTCTGAAGCACTGAACGATGCAAGGTCTAAAGTTTGTGAATATTTTTTGTGGGATATTTTTGTTGTTTGTGCAAAACCAATACTATGTCTATGTCTATGTCAATAATCTGCAAAAGGCTAATAAGCCCATATAAAGCAGATATATAATTTAACAGTGATAGAATTTGAATAGAATATAATTTAAAACCTTACATTTAAAAATAGATCTATGGTTTACAACTATGTTGAAATACCCTGGGGCGATTGTCAGGCTACCGCGTTGACATCACCCCTCTTTACCAGTAGTGCAGGCTTGTTGCTGTGCACTGGGGACCTTTTACATTAAAACATAGATCTATATTAAAAACACACCTATTTAATTGCAGTTATTGACATAGGCATAGTATGATGATTTAAAACTACTTAGACTGTCACAGTCTAAGATGTCACCAGGTAGAGTGTTCCATTTAGCTATTGTCCTAGGGAAATAGCTAAATTTGTATGCATCCGTTCTAGTTGATGGTTGTATGAACTTAGAAGGATGATACAACCTAGTGTTGGTATTGATCTGTTGGCGGAAGTATGGAGGCACGTCGATGGCTGCTAGGTTCTGCTTTCCTTTGTAGAAGAGGAAAACTCTAGCAGCCTCTCGACGCTCCTTCAGTGGCTCCCACTGTAGGTCTTGAAGAGCTTTGGTGACGCAGCCTGGTTCCCTCGAGTGACATTTGGTTACAAACCTAGCTGCTCTTCTCTGTACCTGTTCCAACATATCAATATCTTTTTGTCGGTATGGATCCCATGCCGAGCTGGCATACTCTAAATTAGGCCGGACTAGTGACTTGTACGCCTGAGCCTTCACTTTTTCAGGGCATTGATGGAGGTTGCGCCTGAGGAATCCAAGCACCTTATTGGCTTTGGATACAATAGTTTGAATATGTGTAGTCCAGCGTAAGTTATTTGTGATGTCAATACCTAGGTATGGGATGTGTGTTACCGACTTAAGGTTTTCCCCTAGCATGGTGTAATTGTGAATGATATGGGATTTACCTTTGTGAATATTTAGCACATAGCATTTTGATGGATGGAATTTCATTTGCCATGTTGATGCCCAGGAGACCAGTTTATCAAGATTCTCCTGTAGTGTTAATGCATCTTGCTTGGTTTCGACTGTCATGAATAAAAGGCTGTCGTCAGCAAATAGCTTAAGACTGGCTGAGGATGATAGGTTATTGCCCATATCATTGATATAAACAAGGAAACAGAGTGGTCCAAGAACTGTTCCTTGAGGAACTCCTGATTTTACTGGAGTTTTTGAACTTGATTCGCCATCGAGCACTACCTGTTGTGATCTTCCCACAAGCCAGGATCTGAACCAGTTCAAGTTATTATTGCGAATTCCATAATAGTCGAGTTTGAGCAAGAGGCGTTCGTGAGCCACCGTGTCAAACGCTTTGGAAAAGTCTAACACCAACATGTCTGTTTGTTTATGGTTGTCGAGGGCCCGAGTTATATTCTCTATTGTATTGACAAGTTGGGTTTCACATGAGTGCTTTGACCTGAATCCATGTTGAAAGTTTACTAGAATTTCATAGAGGTCAAAGTGGGCCATAATATGATGGAATATAATATGTTCCATTATTTTACATGGAACTGACGTCAGAGATACAGGCCTGTAATTCACAGCCTCATCTCTTCGTCCCTTTTTGTAGATAGCAGTAACATTGGCATGTTTCCAGTCCATAGGCACTAAGCCTTCATCGATGGACTGTTGAAAAATTATTTGAAGGAATGGCGATATGCTGTCACTGCATTCCTTCAGGACCCTAGTTGGAATAAGATCGGGTCCGGTGGCTTTTGATGGATTTAGGCCAGTTAGCAATTTGTGAATTCCTTTTGTCGAAATTTTGATATTTGGCATTTCAGGAATTTGACTGGGTACCATTGTCGGCAGAGTAGCATCCTCATCTGTGAATACAGAATTGTATTGGTCATTGAGGATGTTTGCTTTCTGGGCGGCGTCTGTTATTTCGTCGCCATCTTTTAATACATGATTAATATTGTTGTGTGAATGAATGTAAGCCAGCTCTTAGATATTTATTATGTTAATATATGCAATCGTAGGCCTATGTATAGTAAAATGGTCTTTAGTGAACACCCAAGTGAACATATCCAGTGGCCTCCAGTCTGGCCTCCTGTAGCGGATCGTTGTAGAAAAAAACCGGGTACGGGGTAGTAAATCCTCCATGCTGGGTTCAATCTTGGTACCAGGTACCTGGTCGAAAAAAATGGGTACACAAAAAACGAAAAATAGGAATATAAAACATAATTAGATCATTAGAAAATGTGTAAGATTTGTTTTGAATTTACAAAAATGTATGTAACTTCCTTCAAAATTGAGCTAGAAGCTTCAAATAAAAAGCATTTTAAGGCTCTTTACTTCTTCTTTCATCATGGTCATATTTTCATTGGTTATGGGTTATAGCCCTCCTGGCTACGCCTATGAAATTGTAAGACGATTTGAAAAACATGACAAATCAATCTTAATCTATTTTCAATACTATAGTAGTTCGTATGTTGTAAGTGAATTGTTTTGAATATGATTTAAATCTGTAAATAGCTCTCCCAGCATGGAGGATTTACTACCTGGTCCCCGGTTTTTTCTACAAACCCTGGCGGATCAGGATTCAGGAAGCTGACAAGGGTGGGGTTGGAGATGGATACATTTCAAGTAAAAAAAAAACCATGTTTGCGCGGAAACATTTTGGAAATGAACCCCGTTTTTAAAATTTGGCCTCTTGTGATACCCAAAAAGGCTAGTCTATATCCAATAGACTGAATTTCCCAAATTTTAACATAAGGGCTATAGTCTGAATATTTTCATTCCAAATTTCAAAAAAATTTCAGGCTAGAGGATATAGTCTACCCAACAGACTGGCCAAAAGGCCCACTTATTGAGGCCCTGCCAAATGTTTAGGCCTCCTGAATCATGCTAGTGATCTTTCTCTAGTGAGCACCTGTGTTAAGTGATGGCCACATTTTTGTAAATTGACTCATGTATAAAATTTCCTCTCTGTTATCGAGGTCCACAACTTACAGTCGTGGGATCATTGGATCATCAATGTTGCTACATTATTACCATAACCAGTTTTATTACTGTCTGTACACCTAAATTACATACCTCAATACGTTCTTGAACTCTAAATGATGCTTTTCAGTTGATCAAAACCATTCCTTATTACGAAAGTAGGTGTGCCACATATGATAAATTATTATATTCATACTGGTAATATGTGTTATTATCAGATTATGAAACTTTTTCATAACAATTGGACTTGATCACAAAATACATGGAGAATATGTGTTGTGTGCATCTATACCCTTCTTTAATAAAAAGACTCCTGGGGAGTCACAGTAAACTGAATTTCTATTTTATATTTCCAGATAAGCATACACTGAAGATATATCACCATGGCGATAACAGTGAATGGAGTCACAGGGTTTTTCTCAAGTTTGGTTGATCTCCAGTCATTCCCATTATTCTGTGCTTATATGTTAATGATACTGCTCTCATCACTATGGCAACGCATCGCCCCTCCGTTATCTCTCAGGCCTGTGAGTACAATATTAATTATCTAAATGCATGGATATTCCATATATTGTACAATGTATATAGTAATTAGAGATGAGCGTTGTTATTCACTAGATTCCTGTAACTATGTAACAGGACAGCAATGAACATAACTCATTTGAAAACAAATCTATGCCCTAAAGCAGTTACATTTCAATTGATTTCTCACTCACTACATCATTGATTTGTATTTACCAACAATTAAACTTGACTTTTTATCGTACCTAATAGCTTGACGGGCGGGTGGCGTCTCACTTTTCAGCTTGTCTACAGGTTTCCAGCCAAACCATTTGACAGATTCATCTGAAATTTTCAGGAATGTTTCTACGTATCAAAGTTAAGAACTGATTAGTTTTTGGGCATTCTGGGTAAATTTTAAGGTGGCCATTTAGGATTTTCCGTCCTAAAATCTTCACTTTCAAGACTTGTCTACAGGTTTCCAGCCAAACCATTTGACGGATTCATCTGAAATTTTCAGGAATGTTTCTACGTATCAAAGTTAAGAACTGATTAGTTTTTGGGCATTCTGGGTAAATTTCAAGGTGGCCATTTTGGATGTTCCGACCTTAAATCTTCACTTTCAATACTTGTCTACAGGTTTCCAGCCAAACCATTTGACGGATTCATCTGAAATTTTCAGGGATGTTTCTATGTATCAAAGTTAAGAACTGATTAGTTTTTTGGCATTCTGGGTAAAATTTAAGGTGGCCATTTTGGATTTTCTGTCCTAAAATCTTCACTTTCAAGACTTGTATACAGGTTTACAGCCAAACCATTTGACGGATTCATTTGAAATTTACAGGGATGTTTCTACGTATCAAAGTTAACAACTGATTAGTTTTTGGGCATTCTGGGTAAATTTTAAGGTGGCCATTTTGGATTTTCCGTCCTAAAATCTTCACTTTCAAGACTTGTCTACAGGTTTCCAGCCAAACCATTTGACGGATTCATCTGAAATTTTCAGGGATGTTTCTACGTATCAAAGTTAAGAACTGATTAGTTTTTTGGCATTCTGGGTATAATTTAAGGTGGCCATTTTTGATTTTCCGTCCTAAAATCTTCACTTTCAAGACTTACCCAGCCTATTGACAGGTATAGCAGGCGTATACCAAAAGTATACCTCATTTACGCTTCACTTACAGGTATATACCAAAAGTACGCCTCATTTTTCAGGTATTCTTGAGGCGTATACCAAATCAATACCTCATTTACTTTAACATTTTCATTATATACCTCATTTCCAGGCGTATGTACCAAAAGTGCGCCTCAAAAACTTATACATTTTCATTATATACCTCATTTCAAGGCGTATATACTAAATGTGCGCCTCAAAAACTTATACATTTTCATTATATACCTTATTTACAGGCGTATATACCAAAAGTGCGCCTTAAAAACTCTAATGATTAAATCTACAGATAGATATACCAAAAGTACGCCTCAAAAACTTAGAGAATTTGCAAGCAATATATTTCCGAAAAATTTTCCATTTTTATCATAGTATTTGATTAGGATCATAAGAGAGACAGATTATATATTGGATAAACAGACCAATAAATTGTCCTTTCAACTCCTCAATGGCGTCTTATCAAAAATTGTTAAAAAATACTCAAAAAGCCTGGGAGACCTAAAGTAAGATGCCTGAAAATAATAAAAATTCAAAATATGGTAAAATTTAAAATATAAAACAAAAATACAATATATAGAAAATTGACATATAATTTATATAAGAATATTACGTAATTTTTGTTGCATCATTTTAAAGTTTTCATAGACCTGTATCTTATTAATGAGACAAGCTATTGCTAGAAAACAACAAAGCAATTCAAACTAAATGTACAACTCATTTAATTATGGAGGTTACTACATTTACCAAACACTTTCCTCATAACAACTAAGAAATAAAATTATACCAACAAACTAGGTATGTACCTCTTATCAGGTGTATACCTGAAAAGTAGGTATTTACCAATAATAAGCCCTAGTTGCTGCCCCAATAAATCAAAATGATAGGAATAGTATACCTCTTAACAGGCGATACCTGAAAAGCAGGTATATATCAAAATAATACCTATAAAACAGGTATAATGAGGCGTATACCTGACATGAGGCGTATACCTGATATGAGGTATATACCTGATATGAGGCGTATACCAATACTGCGCCTCTAGGTATACTATTGGTATAATTAGCATAATTGAAACGCGCCTGCCTATGGGATTTTAACACAGGACTGCGCCTGTAAATTGCGCCTAAAGTACGCCTCATGAGTATACCAAAACTGCGCCTCAAAAGTATACCTAAACTGCGCCTCACTATAGGCTGGGTAATTTGTCTACAGGTTTCCAGCCAAACCATTCGATGGATTCATTTGAAATTTTCAGGGATGTTTCTACGTATCAAAGTTAAGAACTGATTAGTTTTTTGGCATTCTGGGTAATATTTAAGGTGGCCATTGTGGATTTTCCGTCCTAAAATCTTCACTTTCAAGACTTGTCTACAGGTTTCCAGCCAAACCATTTGATGGATTCATCTGAAATTTTCAGGGATGTTTCTACGTATCAAAGTTAAGAACTGATTAGTTTTTGGGCATTCTGGGTAAATTTTAAGGTGGCCATTTTGGATTTTCTGTCCTAAATTCTTCACTGTCACACTGCTGTGTTTTAGGTACGATATTGTTCACGTCTGTGCCTTGTTAAATGTGTGACGTTTGAACATCAATTTCACATTTTGATCAATTGTAACACAACTTCATGATTACACCTGACATACTGGTACATTGTGTTTTTTCCAATTATGTCAGCAGATTGTGTGATTCTTTTATGATTTTTATTTCAGATTCTTGTTGTGTTCAACTTTGTATGCAGTGCTGTAAGTGGCTATACAATGATTGGATTTACATACGGAGTACTCAACTGTACTCACATATACTCAATGGAGTCAGACTCAAATCTCAGGTCAACATTTTGGATATATTGGCTCACAAAAAATTTTGAGCTACTGGACACAGTTTGGATGATTTTACGTCATAAAAACCGGCAGATTTCATTTCTACATATATACCATCATGGGAGTATGCTGCTATTAAGTGACTATGCATATCAGTACACACCTTGGGCACCTATCGCATTTTTTCTTGCGATGAACTCATTTGTACATGTGGTGCTTTATTATTATTATGGGATGGCCGCGCTCAATCCACAGAATCCGCCATCTTGGAAGAAGCGACTTACAGAACTACAGATTTTGCAGTTTGCAATTGGTTGCTGTTTTTCAACATGTGGTTACCTATACCATGGGTTTTGTATTTATAGTATATTTTACGGTATAACCATGGCTGGTCTTTTTTCCAATTTTTATTATCAAGCATATTTTCGAAAAAGATCATCTAAGAAAGATGCGTAAAGTTGGAGAAACATTTGAGAAATATTCAGTGAATTGTTGAGAAACAAATGATGCAATTTTAAAGAATGAATGAATTAAATATATGTTGCAATAAGTTTCATATTGATCAAACCATTGTTCAATAGATGATGAACAATCTTAGTTTGTGTGAAGTGTATATTGGGAAAGTATAACTCTAAAAAATCTGTATGATTTGATTAATGAATTGAATAACAATTCAGTATTTTTATTCAGTATTTTATGTCTGCATAATATGTTTAACCTCTGCATCTAACTGAGACTATGCAAAACTTAAATTTCAAGATGCAGTTACTTTATATGTACAGGGTGAGCCAAAATATGTAACCCAAACAAATCTTAATAACTCAGTCATCCAGTATGGGTTAAAACCATATTTGGCACAAGTGAACCTTGTTGAATGTTCATACTACCAAGTTTCATTGATCTATGCCAAATTGTCGCAATTTTATGGCCATTTTACAAGACCTGCTTCAAATGCCAAAACATACTAAAATCACCAATATGGACTCCCAAAATTTTACTTTTGGGACTATTTAAAAGATAATGGGTACATTAACAACCCTAGAAGCATCAGAGAGTTGAAACAAAAGATTAGAAGGCAAATGAGAGCCATTACACAAGCTATCCACGAGCGTGTAGTCAGAAAACTTCACCCGATGCATTCAAGTTTGCCTCCAAATACAAGACAAGCATTTTGAGCATGTTTTATAAAATGTCCATAAAATCGCGACCATTGAAACTTGGTTGAATGAAAGTCTTTGAAAGAACATTGAACAAGGTTGAATTGTACCAAATATTTAAACCTATACTGGATGACATTAGGTTACCTTTTTTGTCTCACCTAACTTGTATGTTGTATAACCACAAATTAGTTCAGTACTGGTGCATCCACTGTGCATGTTTATTGATGTTTTACCACCAGTTGGTTGAGTACTGGTGCAGTTACTGTGCATGTTTATTGTTTTACTACCAATTAGTTCACTACTGGTGCATCCACTGTACATGTTTAATGTTTTACCACCAGTTGGTTGAGTGCTCGGTGCAGTTACTGACGAATATCAAATCACCATCAAATGGTTTAGTACTGGCGCAGTGTCTTTAAATGTATGTATTCCCACCAATTCAGTACATGTTTGTTGTATTACCACCAATATTTTGGTATTTTATTACTCTACCGAGCTGACAGGCTTTTGAGCCAGCTGTGTTCAGTAAGTATTTTATGTTGACTCTAAGGTTCATGATCAAATTGGCTTTTGCCATGAGGTAAAGCAATGCTGCATGTAAAAACCATAGCATTGAAAGAACAGATATGATCATTTTGCTATGCAAGTTAAATTGTCTATACAGTATTCTACTTTAACCCTTTCCCGACGTGAATATAAGAGGAAAATGTTGGCTCTGGTGACGGATAAGTAAGAGCAGTTTTTAGGGGAAAACTGCAAAATACCTACGCCCCGGGACCTATACCCTGAATTTTATCACTGAAATACAATTTTTAGTAAGGATTATCACATTAGAACAACTTGTCAAAATTTGGTGTAAAAATACTGAATAGAACTGGAGATATTGTCATTTCATTGATGTATATAGATAAAAATAATGGTGCCAAAAGGAGCCTATCATCCTGAAAGGTATTAGATAATAGGGCTCCATATGGAGCCTATCGTCGTGAAAGGGTTAAGTTCTAACAATGTTTATTGGTTAGATTAAAGGGCTACACCCATTCATTGTCTTGTAGACTTTTGATCTGTATTTTGCATTAAGAAGTCTAAGTACTTATGAAAGTTAAAAAATATGTTTTTTTATGATTAGATTACTTTTGTAACACTAATTTTGTAGTGAAATGTTTATAATTATATGAAATAACATAGGCAGTAATGTAGATGGTGCATGGTACTAGATCTATATTTGTATTATTTATCTAGGATTTTAGAGTGCAATGTTTTTTTGAAGTACATTAACATGAAGTAAATTGGAAAAAAACTGTTACTAGAAAAAAATCAAAAGGTTCTCCCAGGAGAAGAACTAGGGGATGAATTATTTGTTGAATGAGGTTAGTTTGAATATTTTGAAAAATTATAATCCTGTTTATAATTCATAATATTCACCCTACCCACATATGAATTAGCATGTCTCTTGCCAACTACACATTATTAAAAGTTTCTTAGCTTTTTAAGGAAAATCCAAGAGTATGAAATAAGGAAATTCTCATCTTGGCTTGTAGTTCAACAAGTTAAACCCAATACCACGGCTTTCATTTATAATCTGAGTGTTCTTGTTGCCGTGGTTGGGTTTAACTTCCGTGCTATGCTTTCATTGGTTGCAAATTCTCACAATCAGTTATTAATAAAACGCGCATGGAATTCCATGCGCTGCCATAGGCCATCATTAAAGTTTTTGCATCAAGGGCCGAATAGGCACGGATGTTAAACCTAGGGCGGGCCACAAGAAATGTCAGATAAGAATAAGGCCCAGACTAGGTTTAACTTGTTGAACTACTTGGCTTGATGACATTAAACTAAGAAGCTCGTGCCCAGATAGTAGTGATATTTTATGCAATAGGCCTAAAATGTAAACATTAGTCATAACAGAGCAAGATACATGACAAATGCCATTTTAGAATTTTAGAATTTTAGTCTTCAACATGGTTATTTTCTTTCATCTAAAGTTACAAGTTCTTCCACTGTGAACTGAACTACCATTAATTTAAAACAACATTTATACATCAGTTAAATGTATGAAGTATATATTTGATAGTCTAAAGTGAGTTTTTACATGTTCGTTGTATTTGTTACGCACAAAACTATGAGAAACATTCTAACCAATACATGTACACTTATATTGTACATAGGATTTATATTTTTAAATATATAACTGTGTAATACAATGAATATTGCTTATGTTTATATCACATTTATATTGTAAAAAATGAGTACAATATTCTTGACTAGAGTGGATGAGATAAGCGTATGAGATTAGATTAAAGCGTTTTTTTTAATCCATATACTCTGGAGCATTCCTGTGTTGTAAGATCAGTCCATATTGCACCATGAAGCAAAGCCAACTCATTTGCAACCTCAGTATAGCAATTTGCAACCTCAATATAGCAATTTGCAACCTCAATATAGCACTTTGCAACCTGTTTCATGGCAAATATACCTATATTACCTATTGTTTACATGTTATAAAATACATATAAAAAACCCAATTTTGCAGTATATAATCCACTGTGCCGAAGAACCATCTCTGAAAGTATTTTTTAGATGAAGTCATTTTCCCAAAAAGTTCCAGCTTAACAGGTGTTCAGAAGTGGTTCATTTTCCCTCTCGGGACTTTTTGAAAAATATGAAATCTTTTTAGTTTTGATCACACATTTTTCAGTGAACCTCTTTGTACTCCCACATGGGTTTCTGTCTTCTACTATAAACTCATAATTTGTATCATGCAACAAGTTTTGAATAATGGCATAGTTTTTGCTGTCGACTCGTTGTATTTTGTATAACATTTCACCCTGTTGTTTATATTGTACTGTGAAGAAGCTGTCTGGTGCCTCAGAACAGATGCAGGGAATTCCTGGAAAATAAACCATCTTTATGTGCAGTGAATTCAGAAATGTATGATTGTTACTAAATGCCTTGGCAACATTCCATTTCATGGAATTTTTCAATATTTTTGATTGAAACTAAATTATGTTCCATAGTAGAGTATAAGTAATCAAATGTCAATTTTGGATGAAGTTTTACCTTACATATTTAAAGGAGGAGGAGTTGTTTGTAGAATGAATCAGGGGAGTTTTTTCAAGCATTTTACTTATGTTTTTTATCCAAAAACATCAATACATTTTAAAACATTTTATTGACTATAATATTGCATCATATAATACCAAAAAATATTACTCATTTTCAAGGATTATCTATGGACTAACACCCAGGTATTTTCATTTTTCAAACTTCAGAGGACTGGGGATCATTGATCATATTCGCTTTAATTTGAATATAAATGCTGTTTTAAATAGGTTTCATGTATGCCAATAATTTCTCAAATTGTGTAAATAGTCCCCTAGAATTTTCTCTTTGAGGAATTTCCCATAGAAATCCAATGGTACAGTTCAAATAAAAAGCAGATTTTGAGATAACAGGAAAGTCAATCATTAATACACATCTAATTGGGTTGTTTTGGTTTATATCGCAACCCCAAAAGGTGTGTATTAAAGATTTCTTAGCTGTTATCTCAAAATCTGCTTGGACTAACCTAATTTTTGAATCATGACTACTTTGCTGTAACCTTTTTAAGGAAAATGTCAGGTATTTTGGGAATCCTTTTAGCCATTTTTAGAATTATGAGTCATTTCACAGGATTTAAATTCCTTCTATGCATGTAATTAAAATGGAAAAAAAACAATTTCTGGTAAAATAAAAAAGCAAAACTCTACTATAAGTTACTGTCTATGTCTGGTACAGCCTTTGAAGATAAATCCAGAAAAAATCTCCAAAAATGTATCACTTACCAAGTTTCCCATGTGCCCAGTATACTTTCACAGATGACGGGGAAATTGCCTTAACATCAACCAAAAATTCATCCTTGAAATATGCCTTTATATTAAGTGCCCATATCTCAAAAGGCATTATGCTACAATGAAGCTAATCTCTCTTCAATAGGTGCTTTTGGAACTGACTTTTGCTTCGAATGTTACAATCCAATTTTGAATGCTTTGTTATTTCAGTATTTGATTAAAATCAAAATGAAACTGATTTTTTCCAATGTTTTTTTACTGAGTGAGCAATCGCATCTGAATTGACAGAAGGTCACCATGTTCTAACCATGATCTCAGAAGTTCCCAGAAGAATATACTTCCTGTTTCATTTTGTTACTTTCATAGATGCCAGAGGAGTAGTCAAGCATAAGGCAGGCAAGGTATTTGCCTCACCATAACATATTACAGAAACATTTCTTTTAACTGAATCTGTTGAAATATACTGTACTAGTAGTTCATTATTTTGTCAGTTCAATGTCCCTTTAAACTTATTTTTAATTAGATCCTGGATATGCTTAAAACATTCTTAATTCTGCGTAAATAATATGGAGATTTTGGTATTCATCATTTTTTAGACTCCCTCCCACATTTAACTCATGCTTGACACTTTTCTGTCACATGATTGTTTAAACTTCCTTATGAAGTACTATGTTTCAAAACATTGATAGTATTAGTAATTATAAAATCAGTTAACATGAATATTTCCTTATTCTGTCAATTAGATAGCTTTTTATTTCCTTATTTAGTCATCTTTTATCATATGATGGTAAGACATGACACACAATATTATGCTTAGAAAACATGCAAAACAATTATGTTAAAAACATGCAAAAAAACAATTGTTAAAAACATGAAAAGGCAATTATGTCAAAAACAAAGCTCATTATTTTTAAGACTTCAATTTGGGATTATTTACAAAAGGTTCATAACTTTTCGTTTTATTCATGTTTTTTTTTAAAAAAAAGTAGCAAAATATGTTAAATCACTACATAGTATCTATACATTACACAATATCTTTGAATGCCTATGACACTCTACTATACCTTGCATTTGGTGTTCTTGAGCAACCTATTTGGCTTATTAGTATAGTAATTATTATGACATTTGTTTTTATTTGTCTGTTCCTTATCAAGGTTTTTCAGATGGTTGTTAGATGTTAATAAGGTACTTTCAAAAATAGACTTAACAATGCAATTAAACAACATAGTATCTTATGCATTTTTAGGGGATAGGTATAGTAGAGTGTATGACTGATGTTGAATTGTTGAACAAGAGTTTTTTACCTTATTTCAGTTTTCAGTACTTAACCCTTTTAAAGTCGTAATGACATTCGTATCGTTTTACTACTGTGGCCCATAGTGACATCAAACTGAAGTAAGGAAATAAACTCTTGTTCAACAATTTTGCATTTTATTTCAACCTGTAATGTTACATTATACCTTGTAGATAATTTTTGGCTTTGGAATTTACATTGTCAATAAATTGATGGCCCTTAAAGTTGAATGAAAAGATTATAGCTCATATATTCAGATATTCGTGTTCCAGTAATCATTTTTTAGTAATAGATACAATTAAACTGTCTTAGTTAGCGGCACTTTCTAGTGAACGCCTGTGTCTAGTGAACTCCCCTTCTGAGCATATACTCGACTGAATTCTGGATAAAATAACCTCTCTGTAGTGAACACCTACTTAAAGTGTATACATTTTATGGTGTTCACTCAGTACACTTGATTTTACAGTATTTTGCAGTTTTGTACAAAGAAATTATGTTTTGTGTATCTCTGGAAAACATATGATAAATAAATAATGCAAAATATTAATCTTAAGATTTTGCAAAACTACTTTTTATTTCTTCTTTCCAGTTGATTTGATTTTCTTAGAAATATTTTTTTCTTCATCCAAGTGAGAATGTTTTGAAGACATATGCCAATTGAGTGAATTTTTCTGTGCGAATTTCTCTCCACAATGTTCACAAATGTAAGGCTTAATCCCAGTATGTACTCGAACATGCTGGTTCATATTTTTGCGGCTAAGTTCTTTACCACAATACTCACAAGGAATCAAAGTAGGGTGCTTTCTAGTCATATGTGATTTTTTCATTTTATATGATTCAAATTTGTCACCACACTTATTGCAGACCCATGATGTACCCAATTTATGGGTTTTCCTAATATGAGCCTGCATTTGGTTAGGAGTTTCACAGGTGAAATTGCATGATTTGCATTGCCGAATATTCCAACGGTGATGTGTATTTACAATATGGTTGTTTAAATGATTAAAAGAAGAAGATGTGTGATCACAAAATACACAATTATAATTATGTTGTATTTTATGTTTTTCATAAAGATGTCTCCCCATTTCAGTAGCTGAATTGTTAGGTTTAGGTGTTCTGGCTTTTCTACTGGCTAATTGTTCCTTACATATTGGACACTGCGTTAACGAGAAGTCACGTTTAGAGGAAAGGTGTTCCCTAAAGGCTTTAGAGGGGATCCAGGTTTCACATTGGATACAAAATTTTGTAGAACCTCTTTCTTTCAGATGTCTTTGTAGTATATGCAGAAGGAAAATATGTTTTGAGGTAAATTTTAGGTCACACCTTTCACAGTAGAATTCTCCGATTGATGAATCAGTGTTCTTGAATCCTGAAAGTATAAGAATCAAATTGAAAAAGATTTGGAGATTATTTGAACCTTGAACTCTTTTGACCAGGGCATTGTCTGAATCAACCTATTGACTATTGTAGACTTTCACATATTCTGAATAGTTTTTCATTCTATTCATAGATGTCAGGCTATGTCTAACCCCATGGATTATGTTTGTATGAACAAAACAAAAACAAACTGGAAGTCTATGATATTTTCACGCAGGAATAGCCCGACAACGGTAAAGATTTTCATGAACTGTATGTTTGTTTAATAGTCTAAAAGCATCTCGACTAAATTCCGAACAACAATCAATCAAAGTGTCTTTGTACTCATTGTACAGTTAATAATGCAGTCTCCGAGCCTTTCGTCCAGTGTCATCCGTACCTCCTGTGCCTTACCTCATGCAGATCTTTAAATTCCCGCGAAATTTACCCTTCTAAATAATTTGACCTGCTTCAAAAAATATATTTCTTTGCGTTTGCTACTGATTTTATTCGTTGTATTTTATAAAATGTTTATTTCTAATGTTAAGAATTCATTCATAAGAAAAATACAGGGTGTTCAAAAAAAAACGCAACCCAAAGAAATCGCTATATCTCGGAAAATACTAGTCCAATTGTGTTCATTTTTTCAGGAAAGAAAGAAGAGACTATGTGTGTATAGCTCCTGCTGTTAGTTAGTTGTAAAACATGATGCCTTGGACACCTTCTCAAAAGACATTAGTATTGGAAAGATACGAAAAACGCAACCAGAGGTGACTGCCAGAGCAATAAACCCTAATAACTTTCTAACCATGGTGTTTTGGCACTTCAGATTCACCACAAATTATCTTCATATAATGTGTAGTGAATTTGGGGAGTTTCATTAAAATCACTCCAGGGACTTTACAGTCATGGTCAAAATGCCTTCTTAAGTCTGGCTGAACCAGGGTGTTTGACTGGGTTTTGAAAGCATTTCGACCAAAACTGTAAAGTCCCTGGAGTGATTTTGATTTCACTCTACAGATTAATCATACATTGAATGAAGATGATTTGTGCCAAATTTGAATAGCCAAAACACTATTGTTAGAAAGTTATTTGGTTTTATTGCTGTGGCAGTTGTCTCTGACTGCGTTTTTCGTATCTTTCCAATACTAATGTCTTTTCAGCATTTGTCCAAGGCATCATGTTTTACAACTAACTAACAACATGAGCTATACATACACAGTCTCTTCTTTCCTTCCTGAAAAAATGAACACAATTGGACTAGTATTTTCCAAGATATAGCGATTTCTTTGGGTTGCGTTTTTTTTTGAACACCCTGTATTAAGTAATTCGTAACAAACTGTTAAAAATGAATACTTAGGAATTTGCAAGGTCAGAAATTGTTTATTAACACCGTTGCTATGCAGTTCGTTTTGAAGTGACGTCATCCCCATATTCGTAATTTTAATCGTCTAATAAACGAATACCACATGTCGATGTGATGTTTTAATCGATAAAATTGAATTTCTTACATATTTCTTTATCTTGTTGTTAGATAACACGTTATGATATTGGTGAATTCGCCAGAAATTAACATAATATTATTTGAAGCGTTTTTGAAAAATTTTGACACCGCCATCTTGAAATAGTGTAGTAATGTTGAACCCAGTGATTATCGATCTTGACATTTTACAATTTGTTGCTCCGCGGAGATTTTTACCTAAAAACACATCAAATACAACATTGATTACCAATTTCGATGGTAAAATCATTTGTAAACGTTATGATTAATGGAATGTTAAAGTTTTGGCGTTGTTGATTACGTAATAAAGAAAGTACTAATTTCTGAAGCTTTCTAAGATCGTGCCCCGGGATTTTTAGAACTATTTTAACAACGTCAGAGAGGTAGTGAAGGTACGCAACAAACGAAATGAATTTTGAGAATGTTAATAATGTTCTACCATCAAAATAAAGTCTTTAATTTAACCGATCAAAGTGATATGCAGTTGTCTTTCTAAATTACTCAAATTCAGATTCCGTTGTCATTGATTGACGATATCGAACACGCTATATTGTGGTGATTCACGACCCAATTTGATCGAAATTGGGATTTCATATGATACATCATCACAAGAGCTTAATACATGCACATAATTAGCGACGATAAAATCCCATGAAATGAGGACCAAGCGATTAAACAGTTGAAGCGACCGTTATGTCCGCCGTTTGTGACAACAGTATCTGACTTTACTATTGTTAGGCTATTCCGGTGTGATTTTGTGACTTTTTCATAAAATAAATCAATGTTTTCTCCAATTTTATTTGAAATATAGATAAGCCCAAAGGGGGTGGGTTGTATTTTATAATTACCTTTCTTTTGTATTGTATTGTTCAACTAATACAAACCTACCAGTTTAAATAACAATAAAACTATACTAAACTATAAGAAATGTATTTTTCTGAAAATGGTGCAAGAAATTATGAGTGTAGATTACATTTAGGTTTTGTGAAGGGTCCCCTTGCATTAACTAGAACTTACTAAATGAGCTTGTCGATGTAGAGCTCTTTCCCCATTGGTATTGAAGTGTATATTACATTTTACTTTTGTGAAGGGTCACATTTAACCAGAACTTACTATAATGAGCTTGTCTGTGTAGATCTCTTTCCCCATTGGTGTTGAAGTGTAGATTACATTTTACTTTTGTGAAGGGTCACATTAAACTTGAACTATAATGAGCTTGTCTGTGTAGATCTCTTTCCCCATTGGTGTTGAAGCACAGGTCACATAATGGGCACATGAACTGGTCATGTTTGGCCTCCACATGTTCTCTCAACTTGAACTTTGTCTCTAGAATACTCTGGCAGTTAGGGCATTTGAATTCTCCAATAACTTGATCAACTGAAAACAGAAATATTCACACATATTTATGCATGATTTATCAAAATCAAACCAAGAAGAATATAGTATTTCAGGCTATCATCATAACATAATTCCATTTTTAATGCCAATACCCTGATTTCCAGGCTTTTTAGAACAATTTACCCAAGATCCCAATTAAACATTAGATTATTCAGGGTGTCAAATAAGTATTATCCCCTTCACTTTTTATTATTTAATTTAGGAATGACATAGGATTATTCCATAATAACATGTTTTCGCTGGGGAATAAACAGGGAATAGATCTGATATTCAAAAAGTTCTGTATCAGATCCCATATCAGCCAAAATCCCATATCAGATCAAATGAGGGTATTCAATGATTCGAGTGAAATACAGAAAATGTGGTGTCTGAGAAGTCTGTATTTCACAAGGGGCCTGAAATCAATAAATATCGTTTTTATTCCATGATCAAGGAATCAAATTAGATTCAAATCAATTAAACAGTTATCTGAAAAGGCAGGAATAAAATACATTCACTTACTGTATTTTTCACGCCATGTTTTATGAGGCTTTGATTTAGAGTCTCCCTCATTTCCATCAGCAGCAGCAGGTGGATTAAATTTTGCAGTTTTCTTGGGCCTAGTGGAACTAAGCATTTCCTCAAAGTCTGCCTCATTGCCTGGTGTCCAGTCTAAGTCTTTTTATCATCTTGGAAGGAGTTGTCACTTCCTGAATCATCAGAAAGAATATCACTATCAGAATCAGAATCCTCAATATTATACTCATCATATTCATCATCCTATTCGTCATTACATTCGTCATCGTACTCCTCTGGTGAGTCACTGCAGTCAATGACTTCAGTCTTAATTACACCTCTCTTTAATATATTATATTATTGGCATCAAATAGATTTGAATTAATATTTACAGCACTGGTATCATCTTTGGCTTTGGTATTCCCATCAGTGGACTCTATCTTGTATTCCTGATTCTCCATGGTTTCATCTTGCAATTCATTGGATGGTTTTCCCTCAAGTGGTTTAATATCTACTGTGCCATTCTCATCTTTGGATTCGTCATTTTCAGGACTTTGTTTTGAAAACTCACATTTCCCCTCTATGTTAGTTTCATTGTACAATGCAAACTGAGATTCTGAAGCACCATAGCCTTCAAAGTTAGCATTGTCATTAAACACATCTATGCTTTCCTGTTTTATAACACCATTATCACAGATGTCTTCAGAAGTGTCAGATTCATTAGTATCCATTTGCTTATTTAAAGATTCAACATTCTTAGTTTCCTGTTTTACTTGTGATCTTTCATCTATTTCAGGGGTAGCTATTTTACGTTGTACTGATTTAAGTGTGGCAATCACTTTATCTGCCTTGAGCACTTCAGCAACATGCATTATATCATCAAAGTTTTCATGTGAAGGTGTCACTCCAAGGCCATATATTAAATCAAGGAAACCATCAAGACCACATTGTGTTGCATCACTGAGTATTGGATTAATTCACTTTCTAACTTCATTCTCTTGCAATGCTTTACTAAATAGAGAAAGTATTGTCTTGTGAGCAGCTACTTCAGCGCCATCTTTAATGATGAAAATAATGTCTGCTGATTTTGTGTCTTTTCTCAGGGCTGACGAAATGTTGTTACTGTTGCTAAATCTTACGCCATGTTTCCCTGATTTCTGTTCATAACTCCTGAAATAGCATAAATAAATCACTGCAGCTATAGTACTAAAATATTACAATCACTCTTCTTGGTTCTCAGCCAATTTCGCAAAAAGAGAAACTCCTGTAATTATTTATTATTCAGACATACAGTTTTGTAGCAGTGGCGCACTGTAATAAAATATATTTAGTTTCTCCCATTGTCAATGACATACATTATCACTAAAAAAATCTAATAACATTATTCTGAAAATGAGGTTACAAATCTTTTTTAAATATGTTTCACAAGTTCATCTACAATATTAAATTGATTTTGATTTGATCTCGACTTTTTTCTTAAAAATTCCTGATATCATACATGTAATTTATATCAAGATTATATCTCAATTTCATGCTAAATCTTTTGGGAACGTTGACTTTCTCCCAGTAATTTCAAATTGTCAATTTAGTTTTATAATCCTGTTCTCCAGATTTATTTTCGAGAAATTCCAATTTTCTCCAGATCATTCAGAAAACAAACCCTAATTCTTTAAAAGGGGATATCCTGATTTTCTTTAGAGTTCTTGCACGCCTAACCATCGACAAGGTACAGTCACGTGACTGTGACAAAATATGCCGTAGTACACTTTTGATGTACAATGTCACTATTAACTGATTTTAAGCAAAGACTATGATGTAGGTTTGAAGCAGGTTTTCAAAAATAAATTTGAGGAATACAAAAAGGATTTCCTGTTTGATTTCGCGTGTATTCGATTTCAAAGACATTTATTTTTCTAATTACGTTAAAAGATCTTCGGGCAGTGCTCGGTTTTTTTGTTGTACGCCCAATTGAAAAATAAAACTAATTACCAACTTATTACCAACCAATTTACAACTAATTATCAACAATTCTGCTGGCAATTGGAATTAAAGTTAAGCGTTAATTAAATCAATGATAATTATGGCCTAATTATCAGTAGCAAGTTCAACGTAAATTAACTTACAATAATGCTGATTTATGATTTTTAGTTGATAATTAAGATATGAAATGTTTGAGGGTGATAGTAAGTGGTAAATTAAAACGTTTTTGTTCTGAAGTAGATTATTGGTTGATAGTTAACATATAGGATGATTATAATGATAATTAGTAGTAAATTAGGCCCATGATTTAGAAATACAAACCCCCTAAGTTTAATTTCAAGATGGTGGAAAAAGAAAACATGTGAGAGATATTTCTCTCATAAAATTGAGAATTACAACGGGAATTGTGCGTATACTACCATGAAATTTGGTCAACATTATTATAAGGGTATGTAGAACATGAATACAATGTATGTTAAATCTTATTCACACTTCTGTCTTAGACAGGTTCCAATTCAAATAATTCAAGTTTTTGAGGCATTTTTTAGAAAAAGCAACAGACCTATTTTTACTAGATCAGTTTTTCATGCTGATAAAGATATTAAAAGATGACAGCTCAACGGGGTGGTCACGACACTAAATTTTGGCATTTTTACCCCCCTAGGAAAATATTCTAGGGGGTACTATGAAACTAGTTCATAACTCAAAGGATATATGAACTATTGTTCTGAGTTGTACACCATACATTGCTAGTACAAATATGAATGCTATCCTAAAGTTATAGGTTGATACCCTTATTGGTCTCAGAAAAATAAAAAAAAACAGGAAAAAGATACGCAATTTTTGTCTTGCCAATTTTATATTTGTAGCTTCAAGCACAATATGACAGCTTTAACAGCTCATAGTAGTATTCTAAAAACATTTCCAAGCTATGTGTGGTATTGTAATACATCTATTTTAGTTATGAAGTACTATTTTGAAATTTTAATATGACTTTATAGTGCCCTACCCCTGGAAAATTGAAGAAAGTGGATGTGGTGAATTTTATCATTTTGCAGCATTAAGTTAGAAACATGTATTGATAGACACCAAATCAATAAATTCATACCATCATCAAATTTTATGTGACATTCTAATTCATTTATTACTAGAATATAGGACTTAAGATATTTTATATGTAAGTTTTCAATTTAGTACATGTATCATAATGAAATCTAGTGTAATCACATACTAGAGAGGTTGGCATACAGTCTGGACATTGACATAAAGTCTAAACATTATAATCATCAATTGATCACATTTGAGCAACTAGACTATGGTGGTCATCATGCACAAGTAATATACAGTAGAACCTGCTAAGTGGAACACCTCTGTAAGTGGAACACCTCCCAAGTGGAACGCCTTTTCAAAGTCCCGTTTTAAAAACCCATTGACTTAATGTTAATTGAACCTCTGTAAGTCACGGGAACACCTCCAAACTTGAACAGTGAACACCCCATATTGAAAAATTAACCTGCTAAGTGGAACAGTCAATTTCCATAGATTTCAATATTGATATATGTAAACAGAATTAATCTCCTTCAATGATATCTGGGTATGAAAACAGGTAATACTGTGATAATTGGCAAATTAGGACTTCAATGGATTTTAATGGATTAACCTCCTGTAGAGGTCAACATGTGATGCAACCAATAATTAATTTGATAATCAGCAAATTAGGATTTCATAAGATTATCATTCAGAAAATTGGATTAACCTCCTGTAGAACTGAACACGTGATGCTACCACTAATTAATATCCCTTGCTGTTTGTTTCAAACTTAATAAGTAAGATTAAAAATGTCATTTAAAAACAATTGAATTATTACCAGTAGGAACAAGTCTTTAAAACTTAATTGCCTAATCTTTGTACCCGAGACTGGCACAATTAGGAGGATTAAGAATGTCAGAAAACATTTTTGGCAAAATGAGGAGGATTAAGAATGTCAGATACCTTTTGAGTAAAATAAATGGATTATTAATGGTATATACCTGCCCTGTAATGAAGGGAGAATCATGTATTTCCAATGATGCATATAAATCCTATATTTGATCTTGTACGTTGCCTGCGAACCCAAAACCTCCACAAGTGGAACACCTTCTAAGTGGAACGCTTTGTGGCAGAACGGAGAGTGTTCCACTTACACAGGTTCTACTGTATTTACATAATAATGTTATAAAGGAGCATGTAGGTTATCGCAAACAACTTCAGACAATTCTAACTTGAATTATGAATATTTTCTGACCATGAACGATGGGTATATCTTTTAGATCTATTCATTATCTTCAAGAAAAGTAAATATTATGATTGAAATCAGACCTAAGTGATATTAAAGGGAATGGCCCAATCAACATACTTTTTACTAAAAATGTTGACCTAATTTTTACCAAAGATGCAACCTTTAATTATATTGTTGAATGCATAATTAGAATATGCTTTGAGATATGTTCTATTTCCTAAGAGGAAAAGTGGATTGCTCCAGGGACTTTAAAGACACCGAATTGTTAACATTGTTAAAATGATGGCATTTTTGGTGAAAATGAGGTCAACAACTTTGAAAAAATATATTGATGGGTTGATTGCTAGTGAAGGAGTCCGATTGACTTTATTATCCCTGTATAGCTGTCTTCATGGTCAGAAAATAGTCATAATCAAAGATATAACTGTCTGAAATTGTTTGTGATTACTTACCTGAACCTTTCCAGGTCAAATCAGGAGTGACAAAATTATTTCCACCAAATTTTTGACATGTCTTCAAATACGATAATATTTTCTTCATAAGATAGAGTGTCACTTGTGAAATTTATTGATTGACCTGAGATTGTACCACATCTTTATGACATAGAAGCGAAAAAGCCATATTGAACTTTAATGATGTTTGCTTAATTGTTGTTTGCCACTTTTCGACAATTGTCAAAATTTGGGGTTTTGGGGGAGGGGTACAATTAGGTTCAAAAATTCACCTGATTCAGACTATCCTTAAATGAGCACTGATTCACCCGAGAACATAACTTTTTCAAAACATGTAAGTGTTATTTTTGGACCACTCACATTAATGTTTCGTCTAATTTTCCCTTGAGTTTCATCATCATTGTCCAAATCTTAGGCCATATTTGTTGAGATATATGAATGTTCATTATTAAAATCTTGCCTTCCTTTGCAGTTGGAAAAGATTCGGCATTAGGTGTTATAAGTCCCAGAGCACGATAAATAAATAAAAATAACAACAAAATGACATAGAACTGATAGACGTTTTCTCTTGTGCGTGTCAGCCATGGTCTACCAAATTGCTGTTCAGTAGGAAGAAACTCATTTTTCAGTTTCCATTTTAATTTCCTGACAAATAGAGCGATCATCTCAGGATTTTTTCTATGATCTATGTGTCACCCTAGCAACTTCTGTTTATGAGAACAATAGAACAATAGAAAAGATTACTTTACCATAATTTTAATCATCCCACATTGTAGACATATTTAGAATTAAAAATATGAAGAGAATGACAAAACCTCTTAAAACACATTTCTTAGGAAACAAATAGGTCGTATTCTTGTTACTATGGCAACAGAGTTTTTTCTTTTTGTCATTCAGATTACCTATCATACCAGGACCAAATCTTGAAAATTTGAATTCAGTATCTTCATTAGTATCTTAGACATATAGGTTTCTTATAGTATCCCCTGCAGATTTTATCGGAGTATAAGGAAAATGCTCTGAAGAGGGTTGCCCAAGGATGCCACTTAACAGTATTTTTGAGGTCCCAACCCTCTATTCATGGGAATAGTTAACCATTGTAAAGCTTCTCATGGTTAACTGACAGAATTGATTGTATCTTCAACTAAGAAGACAATAAAATGTTATAAAACCAGAAGAAAACCACACCAACTTTCTTCTATTTACCAGGGGTAGGGCACTATAAAGTCATATTAAAATTACAAAATAGTACTTCATCACTATAATAGATGTATAACAATATCACACATAGCTTAGGAATGTTGTTAGAATACTACTTTGAGCTGTTTAAGTTATCATATTTTGCTTGAAGCTACAAATATAAAAAAGCAAGAAAAAAATGACAAAAATTGCATATTTTTTTCTAATTGATTGTATTTTTCCGAAACCAACAAAGATATCAGCCTATAACTTTAGGGTAG